ATCTTACCTCCTAATATTTTTCAAAGGCTTTAAAAGCACCTCCTAGAACCCTAAATCGACCCTAAAAGCGCTGCTTTTGATCATCAATGCCCCCATACGACTAAGCCCCAAACCACAAAACCCTCGGCTTCACTTCGGGTTTAAAATTTGGGTTTAGGGTTTATTGTTTTCCGATAGTCTCCTTAGGATTTTTTTGATTTTTGTTCATATAAAACCCACGAGACTGTGACAAATATTGTTTTTGTTATGGTTCTAAGAGTTTTCGAGGTTTAAGGATTTAGGATCTCGGGGCTTCGCGGTTTAAGGACCTGCTTTTCTGTAGCATAGCAGCCTGAAGACTTCCAAATACGACAGTTCCCATAGGTGCCCCTTCTAACCCATATAGTATATAGCCTTAAATTACTCCATATATCGATACATTGGGCCCAATGTATACACTATTCGGGTACATGGACCCTTAGGGATAGCAGCCTGACGACTCCCAAATACGACAATTCCATAGGTGCCCTCTAAAAAGGTTTAGGGTTTAGGGGCCCATACAGCTGCAGTATCATGTAGAAGCTGCCCCCACCCTGTAATAATGCTCTAATAGGAATATAATAGGGCTCTAATATAATCCTTATAGTCACCATTACAGGGTGGGGGCAGCTTCTAAAGTATCATCTATTCCCAAACCCAAGTCTAGTCACTTTGGTCCCTATCTTAGGGATGTTGCCTTCAAGTTGGTGTCTAGGCGCATTCTGTGTGCTTCTATCGACTCTAACGGTCCAAACCCTTCCACCCTAAACTTGACTCTAAGGAACCAAACCCGGAAGAACAAGAACCGCGTCTCCAGCATCCAAAGCGATATTATGATGCAGCAAGGGGGAGAGAGGAGGCGCCTTTTTAGGGTGTACCCTAAGGCTCCGAAGAGGGTCGTGGGATGTCTGGGGGAGGGTTTGGGCTTTGGGGGCTAAGGTTTGGGATGACACTGCGAGGGTCCAGGAGCATTAGGGTAGGGTTCAGGGTTGAAACTGGGGCTCCTTCAAAGGGTACAGGGTGTAGGGGTGTTCAGGGTTACTAGGGTACCGGGAATAGGGTTAAGCGTTTAGGGTATACCTTGAGGCCTATGCTGCCTCTACCCTGTTTTTGGGTAAATACTTTTCAAGATAACAGATCCTAACCGCTGAAACGGGGTAGGGTATGAGCCTCTAGATAGGGTTCAGGGTTCACTTGGTGTTTAGGGTTTAGTTAGGGGTCACACGAGCTATCAAATCACGAGAAGCCGGAGTTCAAGACCCTATTCCTGTAACGCCAAACCTCCAAACTCCGAACCCCTTAGAGGTTGTCTTGGAACCCCAACACCTAACCTTTAAACTTTCTGGGTTCTTATGGTTTAGTAGGAATCGGAAAGTTTAACCTTTTGTTTCTATGGCTTATTGGGGTAGTAAGTTGTCAGAATCTTCCGGATTCACTTGAGTCAAAATGCATGGGCCACTTTACACGTCTGAGCCGACACTTGGTTTCTTAGTTTAGCTAGTTGCGTAGATAGGTAGCTACTTCGAGGTTCATGGGACTTAGTCACTAGGGCTATAATTACGGTAGCTACACTTATATGTACTTATAATCCCAGTTAAGGTACTTATAACCTTTATTACCAAGTCCCATGATCCTCCAAGTAGTTAGTCAGTCAGTCGGTCTGTCCGTCAGTCTGGTGGTACGATCCCCACAGATATCTGGTAACCGGTACATGTTGTGTAGAGAAGGAGCTCACTCACTTATGGGTGGTTGTGTTATTTTTTGGCTCCTTATTATAGTGTGGCACCTAATATTCAGGGTATCCAAAAATGGGACCATAAGTTTGACAACTAACTACCCTTATGTTGCTTCCGGGTGGCGTGCAGGCTTACAAACTTCCTCAATCTTGAAAGTCCAGATGACCAGAACAGACGTTACGAGTGCGACTTTGGTCCCAACATGCTTCCTGTCGGCTACCTCTTGGACTTTTATCAACTTGCCGCACGAAGCAATTACATGAAATACCTGAGGTTTAATAGTTCGTGGTGACTTTGATGAAGATCAAGCCCAAGTAACAGTCACAGCACCCTGTCCTACTCTCTGTAGTGCCCAAGGCATGCAATCACTCGCAATCTTCTTTCTCTAAAGCCTAAACCCACGGAATGCTTAACCCTGAACAAACCACTTTGAATCTAGCAGAATCTAAACCCCGAGAAAGCCCTTGTTCCTAAACCCTCAACCCTTTCAACATCAAAGATTTAGGTTGTCTGTACAGTTTGTTTGGTCTTCAGAGTTTGAGAGCTTAGACGTGTAGGGTTTAGGATTTTTGAAGTTTCAGTAACTTTTGGTCCTCACACCGTAAAGCAAGGGGTTTACAGTTTCGAGTTTGGGGCTCAGGGTTTAGGGTTTAGGGATGCAGCACTAACTAATTCTTTTCCATTTTCTAATTTTTTGTATGGTTTTCTGGCAGCATTTGTCCATTGGCCATACTGAAATAAAAAGTCTATGTGTTCGCCACAGAAATTGTCCGCAGGAGGAGGTTAGTCGACTGCCTCGACTGCGGATGCATGCGAAGATGAGGCACTGCGGGTGGGAGCAGTGCGGTTGCGAACGTACAGATTTGGGAAAATGAATTCTTATGATCCTCGCTAGTCAGTAGCAACTTGTTCCGGATGAAGTTTTTCGACCAGTGCTGCAGCAGCAGGAGCAGCGGCAGCAATATGGCGCAGTATTATAACTTGTGATAGAGGGGCTGGTGGTCCAGTCGTGGTCTCCTTCGGCGTCGTCGTCGACGTTATCGTTTTCGTCGTCGTGCTGGTCGTTGTCGTCGTCGGTCCACGCCATCATCCCTAAACCCTAAACCCTAAACCCCTAAACCCTGAACCCTAAACCCCTAAACCCTAAACCCTAAACCCCTAAACCCTAAACCCTAAACCCAATGTTAGAAGACAGAGGTCCACGTCATGGGCCGGGGGGTCCATGCAATCCTCAGGCGACATACCCATAGGCCCCAAAGTAATTCCTTTTTGGGACTACCTTATAGTATTCTATATATGAACCCCCAAAAGGAACTACTTTGGGGCCTATGGGTAACCCCAAAACCGCTGTCCTGCCATACCTGACCTCGAGAACATCGCACATCAAGAGCAGTTCAGACGCGCTACTGTCGTACCACGGACGAGGATGTCGACAAAGAAATATTGTTCATGTTTCAACTGAATTCGACTTGTAGATGTGTTTCTTTGTTGTGCATCCTTTGTTCGCAATACTTTCGGACAAGCGAAAACATTCAAGAGCAATGCGTAGATGCATAAACATGCATTTCGGAGCAAATGTTGATGTGAAGGGTAAAATGCAAATCACCGCTTTGCCGCCAGCATCCTTTGGCAGAGTTTTGTTCGTACCATTTTGGCCCGAGATGTTGCCAAGACCCTAAACCGCAGCACCTTAAAGCCCTGAATAAGCTATGAAAGCAACACCCCTATAATAAACATTCCAAATCCAAGATGTTGCAACGCGCAGTGGCCGGATGATGCTGCCACCTGCACGGTTGAAACATGTGTATGTGTATATGTGTATGTATGTATATATATATATATATATATGCATGTGTGTATATATGTTTACAGATATGTGTATATCTGTAGATGTATAAAACATCTAGTATCATAGACTATAGGATGATTGACCTGCACGCAGTCAAACTGTTTCCAGCAGCCGTGACAGACGTGGTGCTGCGTGCGCATGAACTATCGACGGGTCCAACGCACTCCCCCGCAGAAAACACTGGCCTGGACCACGAGCACTACAGCACAGTGGTTTTGCGAAACGGACCCGTTCGGGAGCCAGCCTAAACATCCCAAACGGTCTTGCTTGTAATGTAGGAACCTGATTAAGAAATCCTGGCCCTACAACCCTCCTTTTATTAGGATTCATATAAGGAACCCTAATAAAGACCCAAGGTTTCTTAATCAGGTTCCTACAGTACCTTTGACCGCAAACTCACACTTCTTGACCTGCCAAGGCACAGGCCACCTGCGAAGGAGGCGCGTAGCTGTGGTTTGTTTGCCCTTGAGCTTCCACTCATAGGCTCCTTGATAGTTCCTTTTGTTGGTTGACCAATTTTATGGTTAGGAACCTACAATACAGTTGTTGGTTAACCAAAACAAGGATCTGCAATGGAGACTATAGGTAGTAGCCGAAAGTCATACCGTGTTAGAATCCGGTGTAGACAAGATTCCTGTACCTGGCGAAAGCCGGAACTATCCGGAATCCAAATCTCCAAACCGGAAGCACTGCGACCGCGCAAGTACTTTTCAGTCCGGGCCGCGTCAAATTTGCACTTCGCAGCATCCGATGATTTTACAGAGAGGTTGGCAATGAACGCCTCGACACATGAAATTTTGACCTCAGGCCGCACAACCCTAAATCCTTAACCATAAACTCCAAGACCTAACCCCTGACACAATCCCTTCATCACCAATCCACCCGAAGCCCTAAACCAAAACCCGAAGCCCTACTAAACTCACCATGAATCCACCCGAGGCCCAAATTCAGAAGACGTCAGTTTTTAAGTTCTGAAATCCTTCAATCCTCGAGGCAATAGACATAGATAATTGCCAATGCTATTTTGGGGTTCCGAATTATACATGATTACAGTATAATATACTGGAAAGCCCTAGAAAAAAAACTATTAAAAGTCTCTATAGTCTACAGCAAAAATCGTTCGAGTGCTGAGTCCTGCTCTTTCGGGTTTAGGGTTGGTAAAATCTTACAGACCCAACCAAACCCTTCTCAGGCCCCTTTTCTATCCCTATAGAACCCAGTGAAGTACCTTACGAAACCTGTAAAGAGCCCGCTTACAACAATCTGTAGATCCCGTATTGAAGCCTTTTGAAACCCTGCAAACCCTAAACCCTAAACCGTAAAAGCCCTGCAGCAGGTCTTGACGGACACTCTGAGCCCTAAAAAGCTGTTAAGCCCTCAATAGCCGGTGATGGCCCATGGCCCTTGCATGCGCGGGCACACCTTTGCTGCTCGCCGCTTTGTTGATGCTTGGTCCAATTTTCCCAAAGGCTCCATGTACCATTATAATAGATATTTACGCCTTAAAGGGGTCCCTATGTAGGTACTTTAAGGCCTAAGTATATACTATATGGGTACATGGAGCCTTAGGGCTTGCAGAGTTTCAGTTATTAGGCGGAAGCGTAGCTAAACGCTTTATCGGAGGAGACGATGGAAGAACTTTAGTAGCCCAGATCTTCCAAAATCCGTTAATTAAGTAACTATACCTTCAAGTCTTTCAGGGATCATACTATAGTAAGTTAATAAGGTGTATTCCTTAATAGGAACCCAGCTCCTGCAATGATAGGCACAAGCAGAACCAGTGGCGCAGAACCCGGAGTCCCCAGACCCCCGGGAGGATCTAGAAAGTAGATCCCCTAGTTTGTTTGGGACCCTATACTACTAAGGGTACTTTATAGGAACCCCCCATTTTGAGGGATCTACTTTTTGGATCCTCCCGGGGGTCTGGGATTAAGGGCTTTGCGATACGGTTTTGAACTTCTACCATGGGAGGCCAAAAGGGGTTTTAGCCTATGGGGGTTTAGTAGGGATTAGGGTGCCCATAATAGGGTTCATATTAAGGAATCCCTACCCCAAGAATCTTAAACCCCCCTTTTGGCCTCCCATCATTCTGAATCTATGTAGAACCGAAGCCTCAAATCCCTGTACCGTAGACGCAGTCTCTAAGCCTGATTTTGCTCACTTCGCTCTGCAGCCTCGGTTGCAGCGCGTGAGCCCGCGAACCTAACCCTGTAAGAAGGGGTGGCAAGACTTAAGATTCGAGGTGTGTGGGAAGTAGCCTGCAGTCATCTTGTTGCAAGACTGAGGCTAGCTTTGTTTCTGGTTATTAAACCAAAAAAAGCCCTGCCCTGTAGCCCGACCAACCACCCCATGATTTTATGTAAAGACATCTTGCAAAGGTATGCGGTGTTCCTTAAACCCTAAACCCTAAACTAAACAATATTCCTGAATCACGGGGATGCGGAGATGCCGGGCTTGCTCTTCATGACCCGAGCCTCTCTTTTCAGCGTTGTTGGCTTTTTCCAGGTTCCTCACCGGGCGGGGATATGGGTAGTTGTCAAAATTATGCTGCCTTTTTGAGTACCCTAAATATTAGCTGCCATATTACAATAAGGACCCAAAAAGGGACCATAATGTTGACAGCCACCCATATTCAAGTCTGGTCAGATAGGAATTGAAAAGGGTTTAACATTTCTAAATATTGCGACCTCTGGATCAAGTACGAAGAAACTATTCCTGTTCGGGTTTAAGGTTCAGGTGCTCGGGTTTCTTTTGGGATAGAGTGAGCAGCTTAAAGCTTGTTCCAAGCCCTTAATCTCCCAAACCCCGAGATTCTAAAGTCCTGAATCTTATCTGAATCTATAGTCTCCTTAGGAGTGTATTTTTTATATGTTGTCCATATTAAAAGTCCCAAGAGAATGTTAAGAAGATTACTAGTCTTATGGTTCTAAGGGGGTATAATTATAAATCCTATACTCCTAAATATCCTAAAGTCCTAAACCCCATGCTCCTAAACATCCTAAAGTCCTGAATCTTATAAATCCTATAGAGTCTGAAACACCCGAAATCTTTGAACCATGGTAGGTTAAACTCCAGAGCTGGTTTAGGGGTTTAGGGGCTTTGGGGTGTGGGGTTTAGGGTGTAGGGTGTTTAGGGTTTAGGGTGTAGAGGTTTAGGGGGTAGGGTTTAGGGGTTTAGGGTGTGGTGTTTAGGGTTTAGGGTGTAGGGTGTGGGGTTTAGGGTTTAGGGTTTAGGGGTTTAGGGTGTAGGGTTTAGGGTTTAAGGGTTTAGGGTGTAGGGGCCCCATTTTGGAGCTACCTTTCCTACTTTGGTAGGTTAGTGGAGTCTGAGGTCAAAAGAAGCCCTGAACGCTGATCGCCCCAGGAGCGTGTCTGCCGGAAACCAGTTCAGCGCTTTGGACCTGATCAGCGCGCAGGCGGGTTGCGATATTTCTTTTAGGGGGAAGGGGGGGGGGGGTTTGGAGGCGCAGGTTTACGGTTTGGGTGGAGGGGTTCTGGTATAGAACAGGGTCCCTAAACCCTAAACCCGAAGGTAGCTCCGTACTTTGAGGCAGGGGGTATTGGAACCCAGGGTCTACGGTTTGGGTCAGATGTGGAATAGGGTCCCTGAACTAGGATGACCAGTAGTACCCTTGTTCCCTTTTGGTAGTCCTAGGTTCCTTATAAAGTTACCCGGTACCAAAAAGGAAGCCGTTTTAGGCAGCAGCTGCGTCCATCGATGACCTCATTGGTTAGGATGGCATCATGAGGTCGGATCGCTCGTCCTCCATAATAAACCCGATTTAGAGTTTAGGGTTTCAGGATATTTTAGGGATATTTAGGTTGGATCGAGGGTTTCGGGCTTTAGGGTTCCCTTGAAAGGTATGGCTGGACAAGCACGTCTTCAACAACACTCTGGCTGCGGAGTCTTCTGCCCTCGGATTTCAGCGCTTCGTCATGCAGGATCCGGGCTTACCTGGGACATGATTATACTGGTCTTCTGGAGCGTATTCCGTAATGGTAAAGTATCTTTGGACCCTTTGGGTACGGGTCTAGAGCTTAGGGCCGTTTTGGGTTTAGGGCTTACGGGCTATGCGTGAAAGGGTTCCTGCAAGGGGTTCCATTGATGGGTTCAGCAGGGTTGTAAAGGGTTTAGGGTTGTATACTGTTTACAACAGGGTTGAATCGGGTCCGTGTGACTATTCAGGATATAGTTGGACCTTACAGGGGTTCTTATACACTTACTTTAGAACCAATGTATATACGATATGGGTAAAGGGTACATGGACCCTCGCAATAAGGGATAGATATCAACCTTCGTGGCAGAAGTTTCCCAGTAGCCACGGATGAAGTTCAGCGTCATTCTGTACTTCCCGGATCGAGGTGGTTGGTAACAATGGCCACGTCTCATCCGCATCTACCTGTGATTTCCTGTGCCCCAGACCCTGCTCTACTTCTTAGGTTTTTATAATGACAGAGCATTTTTGCTTGAGGTTTGGGTTCTGGTTTCGCTCATTGCTGATTCAGACTGCTTAACACGGGCTTGGTTCTGGGCTTAGGAGGTTAGGATTTAGGGTTTTAGAGTACTACCAGTAGCTCGATTCGAGACTGCCGCTGACATTCTCATTAGCTACGGCTTCATCACTCATCCTGCACTTTCTGGACCTCAAACTCCTTACGCAGTATCAGGGAGACCCCTTAAGAGCGATCCTTCTTAACCCTACTTCTGGCTCTCTTGAAAAGGGACCTTATTATTTCCAAGGGTAAAAGGAGGGACCCCTTAAGAAGGACCCCTAGGCATATACCCTTATAGCTATTATATACCCATTATATAGGCCACTATAGGGTAGGGGTCCCCATTAAGGGTCCCTCCTGTTCCCCTTTGATCTATTAAGGGTCCTTTGGACATAACTTATAAGTAGACCCCAAACCCTAAACCCTATAGATCCCTTTAAGGAACCCCTATAGAACCCTTAAGAGGGACCCTTAAAGGAACCCTAGTTTGATTATTGAGAGGGTCCATATCTCTTCGTGTCTCCCGAATCAGGCCTCAGTCCCTTCGTTCAAAGGGGCTTGAGGTTAGGGTTGAGGGTTTTAGGGTTGAGGGTTTTAGGGTTTTGGGTTTAGGGTTTAGGGGTTTAGGGTTTAGGGTCCAGGGGTTTAGGGTTTAGGGTTTTAGGGACCCCCAAAAGCACATAAGCATAAGCATTTCATGGGGATATCCCGACCTTCCTGGCCTTGATTATAAGGGGATGTATATGGGATACGGTTGATGATATAAATCCTGCATTACCCATAATAAGGAATATACCATAAATCCCATAGTTTAGGGTCCTTAGGGTAATGCAGGATTTATATCATCAACCGTATCACTATCCTAATTTTTGCTTATGTGCTTTTTTGGGGGGGCCCTAGGTTTGGAGTTGAGGGTTTAGGGTTTAGGGTTTAGGGGTTCAGGGTTTAGGGGTTTAGGGTTTAGGGTTTAGGGGTTTAGGGGTTTAGGGTTTAGGGTTCAGGGTTTAGGGTTTAGGGTTTAGGGCGCTTCAGAGTTCAGCAGTCTTGCAGACTGGCAGTTAGGGGTACTTTCAAGTTTTGAGCTTTGGGTCCTTGGGTCGCTATAACTCCTAAAAACGGTAATATAACATGATAAACTTTGCTAGGGTCCCAAGTTCAGTATAGGACAAAGTTCATGTTTGTTCTTGGAAACTTTCAGTACTGACAAGAATAACAACTAGATCATTACAATGACAATAAGAATCAGTATACGAATAAGAATAGGACTAAGAATAAGAACCGCAGTAGCAATAGTAGCCACAATAGCAATAACAGTAGGAGCGAGAATACTCGCCGATCACAACTATAATGGCAATACTAGTAGCAACACTAGTACGTCACTAGTAGTATTAGGTTACAGCTGCAAAGGCAACTCCAGTAATGAAAAGAGTGTGGTTGAAGCGTCACGAACCTCTTTCTGCGCCCTCCACGGCGAGGAGTCAAAAGCAAGGGCGCAGGGCCTCCCCTGGCCTGTAGATGCCTGGCCAGACCCATGTAGGGTTTAGGGTCCATTTCTGGAGTGCCATGCTTGAACATTTTGTTAGGACCTGTTGCTGAAAACAACCATTACGAAATGGAAGTTTAGACTTTTTCTCTCTGGCTACTTCAAAGCCCAGTTTATTTCAGCAACGTTCGAGCACCTGGTCACAGACTCGCAATTACTAAGCCGCACGTTTCGATAGCCTGCATCGCATACGATGAACCACCATGACGCTATCTAATCGCTAAACCCTAAACCCTAAACCCCTAAACCCTCCTGGGTCTTAACAGTATGGAGGCCGAACCCGAGGTTCAAACGGAACCTGTACGGATTGGCAACAGGATGTTGTGAGGATTAGGGGGACCCTTGGCGATATAGACCCTCTCAATAAGGCCCCTTTTAAGAGAGCCAGAAGTAGGGTTCAGAAGGGGTACCCTTTAAGGGGTCTCCCTAAGAATACTACCTAAGGATGTTGTCAGGGATATTCCTCCTCCTACGGTTGATGATATAAATCCTGCATGACCCATGGCCATAAGAAGGAATATACCACAAATCCCATAGTTTAGGGTCCTTAAGGTCATGCAGGATTTATATCATCAACCGTAATTACTGGAAAACGACAGCGACGACGCCGAATAATAATCCTAATAGGCCTACTGAGTCAAAGGAATGCTCTTACTAATTCTCCTGTCCCTTGATCGTGTTAGCCCCTAAACCTACACCCTTTGATCCCTGTAACCCCACGGCCTAATACCTGAAGCCCAACGACAGACAAGTACAATCAAAAGTGCCCTGAGCCCTCCACCTTTGAAAGGGTTTAGTGTTCAGGGTTTAGCGGCTACAGGGTTGAGTGACTGAAAGCCTTCCCAAACCGACAGGGCCCAGAACCCTAACTAAACCTGGAAACCCCACACAGGCCCGACACCAGAAACCGGCCAGGACCCTTATGGATGGAAATACGAAACCGTAACAAAAATAGCCCTCAAACTCTGAAAAACCCAGAATCCCCAAGCCCCAATCCCAGACCCTAGACCCTCTATAGCCCTGGTGAAAGCCTGATAGAATCCCGATAAACCCTGAGTTCGGAACCCTAAGCCTTAAACCTGGTAATCCCTAAATCCCAAACCCTAAAATGAAGCCCTTAAGGGCTTCTAGGGTTTAGGGCTTAAGGGCTTATAGGGTTTAGGGATGAGTTAACCCCCTAGGGCTCCATGTGCCCATATAGTATATACTTAGGCCTTAAAGTACCTACACAGGGGCCCCTTTAAGGCTTAAGTATCTACTATAATGGTACCATGGACCCTTATACCCTAAACCCTATAGAACCCTTTAAAAGAACCCTTTAAGGACCCCTTTAAAGGAAAGCCTTAAAGGCTATCTACTATAATGGTACATGGAGCCTTTGGGACCCTTCAAAATCCTGAACCCCTAAAACATCCTAGAGTATGGATTTTGGGACCTAAAACCCTACTATTTGGGTACTTGGACCCTCTGGGTTTGGGACCCTTCAAAATCCTGAGCTTCCGAGGATTGGCCCACGCTTTGCTTCCTGGGCCTGGGCCCTGCGTCCTCAGATTTGAGCCTTGGAGCTGTTGGTTAGGATTTAGGACGGTTTAGGGTTTAGGGTTTAGGGTTTAGGGTTTAGGGTTTAGGGTTTAGGGTTTAGGGTTTAGGGTTTAGGGTTTAGGGTTGTTTATTCCTAAGCCCTAAACCCTATAAGTCCTTAAGCCCTTAGGGTTTAGGGTTTAGGGTTTAGGGGTTTCTACCCGGAGGCTCCATAGTAGTTCCCTTTTCCGGGGCTCAGATTTGATCCTCGGAGCTGTTGGTGTTACTTAGGGACCCAAAAAGCTCATAAGCATACGCATTTTATAGGGATATCCCTACCTTATTGGGCTTCATCATAAGGGGGTTTATATGGGATATCCATATCCTACAGTTTGCTTATGTGCTTTTTCTGGGCCCTAGTGTTACGGTTTCTACCCAGAGGCTCCATAGTACGGTTGATGATATAAATCCTGCATTACCTTAAGGACCCTAAACTATTGGAATTATGTTATGGTATATTCCGTATGAAGGGTAATGCAGGATTTATATCATCAGCAGTAGTTCCTTTTTTCGGGGCTCATATCTAGATTACCATAAGGTAATCCCAAGTCGGAACTACTATGAAGCCTATGGGTACTTTGAACCACCAAGCCCAACTTTGTTGGTAGGCTTTGTGTATATTTTAGATCACGGTTTATCGTAAGAACCTACATACAAAGAAGGTAATTAGGTTGTGGTAGTTCAGGGTTTGGTGGTTCTTGGGGTTCCTTCCAGGGTTCGAAGAAGGTGCCTCTAAGGGCTCTAAATACGTGTTTAAGGTTTAAGATGCTTTGATGTAGAAGGGCTTTCGGTGATTGTGCGTGTTTTGGTCCAGGACCTTTCTGGTATTAGAGGCTAGAGTTTTACAGTGGTTTGAATTCTCAGGGCTCAGTGTTGCGTCAGGGACTGGCCTTTCATATCTAGAGGCTCATACCCTTAGGATACCTAGCTTCATGGTTAGGACCTGTTATGTAGAAAAGTAGATACCCTAGAAAAGGGGTAGGGTATGAGCTTCTTGGTGAAGTTCAGACCTCGCAACAGTGTAGGCCCCAAACCCCAGTGGGCTCCGAAGTCCTACAGTAGAAGCCAGAAAGTTGGAGCATCATTAGCCTCATGAACTTGAAGTAAAGTATAGGGAATCCCAGCATGAATCATCCTACATCTATGTTCCAACAATCTGGGCTTCGCTGTAGTTCACCACAGGCTACTAGCTCACACCTATTCTTCGAAATGAAGACAGCAGCACATTCTTCAGCGTCACAGCTTCCATGATAACAGGCTTTACCTGTAACTCCAAACCCTACAAAATAGTAGGTTATGACCCCTTTAATTAGAGGGTAGAACCCTTAAAACAGTAGGTTTTCGCATCCCAAGGTAGAGTCTTAGCCCTAAGGCGACTTCTTGTGCAGGGTCATGGCTTCAGGCTTTTATGGGCTTGAAGGGTCTTTTCCAAAGGCTCTCTCCAAGTGAGGCTGCAGGATGTGGGTGTCCGGTAGAGGGTTGAAATTAAGGACACTCATGGCTAACTCCCATCTCTAGCGCTATACATGGCTTTAGAGCCTACACCCAAAATTGTCTAGAAAGCTCCGCATAAACCGTTCTACGCCATCGAAGCGACCCTTAAACCCTAAACCTCAAAGGGCATTCTAAACCTAGTAATTACTAGAGTAGGTAACCTTTAACCTTTTTTGGGTAGTATAGCCCGTTATAGCCCCTATACAATCCCTATATAACCAAAAGGTTGACCTTTGCTTCCCCAGGATAAGCGACAAGTAGGCCTTAAACCCTGAACCCTAAACCCTAACCCCTAAACCCTAAACCCTGTAAAAGAGGCGCTTAAAAGAACCCTAAACCCTAAACCCTATCCCCTACATCCTAGGTAAAGGGACCCTCGAAACGAACCCCAGCCTCTCGCCTTGCCAGGTTCATGGCGCTGACGCGCATTCTGCCCGAGCTGCAGGAGCGGAGGGTTTCCCTGGAGCGGGGTTTAGGGTTTAGGGTTTAGGGTCCCTGGAGCGGAGGGTTTCCCCTAAGGCTCCATGTACCCATAGAGTATATCCCCTACACCCTAAAGCTATGATAGATCCCTTATAGCCCCTTTTAAGACTCCTTGAAGTACCTAATTATATAGGGACCCCTGTAAGGCTTAAGTATCTACTATATGGGTACATGGAGCTTACGGTTTCCCTTAAGGGTCCATCTACTGCAACTTTAAGGGAATCCCTACAGGAGCTCTGAAAGGACCCTTGATTAAAGGAACCCCTTATGGAGCCCTGAAGGAACCCCCCTTCAAACAACCCTTAAGGGTTTTGTATGCGTTTTCTTTAGAAGGGTTTAGAGTTTAGAGTAGTCTAGGGTTCCATTCGGGCGGGCTTCTTGTTCGGTTTTTAGGTCTGCAACGTCTGCAGAGGACGTGTGTTGTCCTGCGCAGCCCTAAAGTTTATTTTCCGGACTTTGGGTTTAGGGTTTCGGGCCAATATACCTTGAATGCTGGGCATACAGATGCATACACATATATATATATATATATATATATATATACACACACACGTATCCAGCCCTTCTCATATGTTAGCATACAACATGATGCAATATGTTCGTTTCACGAAGCTGAGAAAAGCTCAGAGCAATCAGATAAGCACCTGCGTGACACACGTATAAGGAAACGAGCGAACAAAGTAACACATAGCCAAGCAATTTCGCAGTTGTCTGTAACCTGGTTGAATAAACGTGTCTACTTCTGCATATCTGTATAGGTTCCCGCACATCACCTCAAAAACATCCTGGTCATCGTATCCTAGTACAATGTTTGTTTGGTGCGTTGGAAGAGCTGGCGTGCCATTGTGAAGCCAGGATGGTAGTATGAAGTTGCTAGCGGATGAAGAAGGGTTCTATTGGGGTTTATGGGGCTTTGGTTTGAGTATAGCAGCTTGAGCTAGGTTTCGACCACTCATCCGATGTGGAACATTTGCAGAGAACACCAGGCACGTTTTGGGGTTTAGGGTTTAGGGTTGTTGTGTGAGCGATCGCATGTTCTGGCCGCTGACCTGGGCTAGTCGAAAACAAACTGCGACGTCGCACTCTACAACCGAAGCGGAGATCATTTCCCCAAGCACCGGTGCGTTCACGGAGGCTCAGCCTGCCCAAGAGCTTGCAGAGTGTTCGGGCAGGACATGACTCTGCAGTGCCTTCAAGATAACAGCGCAGTCATCCAAATCGTCAATGCTGGTTACTCACCGAAGTGGCGCCATGTGTCAAACAGACACCGCATCAATGTGTCTTCGCTCTACGAAGTGTTGGGCGATCCAGTTTGTTCTATCAACACAGATCAGCAAAGGGCCGACATTTATGCCAAAGCCAAGGGCTCCTGCCAAGATCCCTGCTGCACTGCGAAGGTTGAGCGTAGTAATATGTACAGGAGATTCCCTGTGGCACTTTGTTGCTTGTTTTTGTGATCCCCAGAGACTCCAACATCTCTTAATGAAGGAATATACCTTAAATTAGAGCAGGATCCCTAATGTGATTTAAGGACATTCCTTAAGGGGTATTGGAGTCTCCGGGTCCCCTGTATATATATATATATAGATATATAGATAGATAGATAGGGACCCCTTGAAGGCCGAAGTATCTACGGTGTCTGAGGCTCCTCACCGAAAACCAAGCAGGGAAACTGATAGTTGTCATGCAGGAATGGAGTAAATTTCAAGAGCCTCCCCTCATAGTCCTCAACCTTATTATACGTTTTTTGTATCTCAAACCCTCCTCTAATTCAGAGCCCCAAAAATACAACCCAGTCCAGGTCCTTGTATTTGGTTTTGATAGTTTTAGGGACCCTAAACCCTAAACCCTAAACCCTAAACCCTAAACCCTAAACCCTAAGCAGGCCTTCGGGCTTTCGGCTTCACGCTCTATGCTCGGTCGAATTGGGGCTTCAGGGGCTGCGGCTACGGGTTTTACAGCGATTTTCGGACCTAGGTTTTAGGACTTTGGGTTGAGGATGTAGGGTGTACTTGGAGGCCCTTTTGACTTAGTAAGTAGGGTTAGTAAGGTGGGTTATGGGGATTATAATGGGGGTTTCTAGGGGATACTAAGTAGACTTACTAAGTCAACAGGGCCTCCAAGTGGGGTTTAGGGCTTTGGGTTTGGATGTAGGGTTTAGGATTTGGGGTTTAGGGCTTTGGGTTTGAAGCTTTGCGGTGCAAACCGGAAGCAGGTGGTCTTGATCGATGTGGAGCAGGCCCGCATCTTTAGGGGCCTTAGAGTGTTAAGAGATAGAGTTAAAGCCTCCTCTTCGAAAGTGGGGCTGTCTAAGGTCTAGTCCAGGCTTTGTTCTCCGACACTCGCTCACCCAGTGGATTAGAATAGTTGTGGTTTGGGTTTAAGGTTTTATGGTTTCGGGATATATTGAGCCTGCATTAGACGAACACGGCACCCTAAGCTGGACCGAATCTTGGAAGCAACAGGGATAACGGGCACCCTGCGTTGCGGGATGACTGGGGAATCTGATCTACTGTGCCGGCCTACCAGCTTGGTCAGCAAGTTGAACTGTCCAGGGCGACTTATCCCTAACGGTCCATGTGCCCAAATAGCGACTCTTTGAGGCCTTTCGTTTCGATACGCAAAGCAGAGCCCAAATCGAACGTCGTGCCCCCTTTGGAATCAGAGCTCTTCGTTGGAACCCTAAACCCTAAACCCTAAACCCTAAACCCCAAGAACCCTGCTCAAGTTATCAAGGCCCTTTTAATTGTTCCACCACCAGAGTCCCCCTAGTGGTATCACTGATAAAGCAACCCTTGTGGGATCCCTGCAAAGAGCCCTTACAGGAGCCCCATTCTAATTATTAACCCTGAAGTCCATCTAACCCCATTCTAACTATTAACCCTGAAGTCCATCTAACCGCTGAGTCTTAGAGTCTTTTCTTGTGCCCTATGATATGTGTATATATATATACACATACGTATATAGATATAATATATACTGCATGAGTACATGGACGCATAGGCTAATCCCTAAACGCCCTATTTTGTTTGACGATAGGGCGAGCACACAGCCGCCGTCGCCGAGCAGCTCGGGGTCGAGGTTCACTGGTGTTTGAGGGCCCTTTTTAAAGGCTCTAGATGGTGTAGTACCCTAAATAGACGGATCCTTCTTTTCAGGACCCAAATAAGGTACCCTAATTTTCGGAAACTCCCAGACGAACAATAACAATATTAATAACACTGATAATATGAAGTAGTACCAATATCAGTCATTCTAACACCTTCTAAATATGCGGGTAATAATGATAAGGATGGTAGGAAAATGATATGTGGTTTTGGGGATTCATTGGAGGGTTTTAAAATAAATCGGGGTATTAGGGTTCGGCGGTGCTTCAGGAGTTTAGGGATTCAAGGGCATGGGTTTCGGGGCGCTTAGGGCTCCGGAGGAGGCCGATACTTGGAGGTTCATGGGACTTAGTAAGTACAGTTTTAAGTACGCTAATTGGGATTATAAGTACATATATAAGTGTAGTTACCTGAATTATAACCCTAGTTACTACGTCCTATGAACCTCTAAGTAGACCACCAAACCAGGAAGACTGGGTTGAAGTTTTTTGTTTAGCCGTCAGCACAGACGAGTCTTAGCCTTCAGACGCCTTTCAAAGGCAGGCATGTTAGACATGCTGGGGCTGAAGGCTAGGGTTTAGGGTTAGCTTGCATGAATGGCTCTATAGAGCTGTTTTAGCTTTAACTTCTGACGGCTGCTAGACTATGGAAAACATCTCGAATTATGCAGGGATCGGCAGTAACACCACACGCCCAACAGAACTACCAACTGTCGAATCAACAGCATCCTCTTCCTGTAGTAACAGTAAAAAACCACTTCTGTAGTATGAATACAAAATAAGAGTAACAATAATCGCAAAAAAGCAAGAGGACACTGTAATATGTGTGTGTATATATCTGTATGTATGTATATCTATCCCTTCAACTCGAAGTTCGGAGATCTGACAATCCTCAGCCGCCGTAAACCAGTATCTCCTGATTCCCCTAGACCTGGGTTTGGAGTACCATACTTGAATACTTGTTTTTGTACCTGTTCCTTTAAAGAACCATTATGAAATAAAAGTCTATACTTTTTTCTCCCGGGTTACTTCAAAGCCCAGTAGATCCCCTATACCCAACCTTTAAACTTTTTGGGCTCTTACAGTTTAGTAGGAATCGGAAAGTTTAAGCCTTTTATTTGTGTGGTTTATTGGGGGAGTAAGTTCCTGAAGCCACAGCTCGAATTCCCTGAAACCAAGTTTCGCACCTCCTAAAATCGAAACTGCCGACACAACAACCTCTACAAAGCCACTTGGGGGCCCTTTTGACTTAGTAAGTAGGGTTAGTAAGGTGGGTTATGGGGATTATAATGGGGTTTCTAGGGGATACTAAGTAGACTTACTAAGTCAACAGGGCCTCCAAGCAGGGTTTAGGGTTTAGGGTGCAACTCTCAAGTGGAACCCTGATAGAACCCTGAAGCCCCAGACCAAGAACCCTAAAGCCCCAGACCCGAAACTTGAACACCTGCAGAATCGTGCGTCATAGAGGAACCCTAAACCCTAAAGCCTATACCTGGAAAAAGGAGTTCAAAAAAAACAAAAGCCTATACCTGGGCTTTGGGGTACCATACTTTAATACTTTTTTCTTAACGGAACCATTATGAAATACAAGTGTATACTTTTTTCCCTGCTTACGGAAAAGCCCAGATACCCTAAACCCTAAACCGGAGGCTTGAAGGGGCCCCCACCCCGTGATAGTGAATATAAGGATTATATGAAGGCCCTATTATTCCACTTTTACAGGGTGGGGGCCCCTTCTAAGCTAAAAATCTTCAAAATCCTTGTAGAAGCCCTGTAGAGCCTCGCCAGAAGCCTTAAAAGAATCCTTGCGGGAGCTGCGACCTCACCCCCAACTACCCCTTGTTAGAGCCCAATTAGATAAGACCTCTTTTACTCAAACCCTAAACCCCGAACTTTTGACCCCAAGCCGTAGACCCCAAATCCGAAACCCTAAACCCCCCAACCCTAAACCCTGAACCCTGTATAGATCCCTGGTATAGACCCCTTCATCGCCCCCCAAAAAGGAACCCTAAACCCGAAGACTCCAATAGCCCTCAATTCAGGAATATATACCTTCAGCTGTGGGTCCCTTAAGTGAACCCTTTTAGATCCCTTTAAAGGAACCCAATGAACCATTATAGAAACCTTTCAAGGAACCCCTATGAATCCCTATAGATCCCTTGACAGGAACCCTTATAGGAATCCTTTTAGAACCCTTAAGGATCCCATTAAAGGAACCCTAGGAACCCTACTTAGAGGTTCATGGGACTTAGTAACTAGGGTTATAAATAGGTAACTAGACTTATAATTACTTATAACCCCAATTAAGGTACTTATAACCTTACTTACTAAGTCCCATGATCCTCCAAGTAGGAATTCCTTAAAGGAGCACCGCCTCGCGCACGCTTCGATCCGCGACTTCGCGGAGGAGAGCGGCCCGGCGCGCCGACGACCCTGGGCGTCGAAGGGATCGAATTCCTACTTGGAGGATCACGGGACTTAGTAAGTAATGTTATAAGTAATTATAAGTATGGTTACCCTGGTTACTAAGTCCCATGATCCTTCAAGTAGGGTTCCTTTAAGAGGATGTATGAGGGATTAGGGATCTCCTAGGGTTCCTAGGGCTTTGGGGTCTAGGGGTTTAGGGATCAGGCTTTAGGGTTGAGAGTTTAGGGTTTAGGGGTTTGGATTAGGGCGGCTGTAGCAACAATAAGACATGAGTATCCATGGCATTCATGATATGTCTTCCTGCTAGTAGAGGCCGGACGCAGTACAGTAGTTGCAGTACCTTGCATATACAGGAACTTGTAAGGACACAAACCCAAAGAGTCCCTACGATCGCAGCTGTCAGCCCTACCCATACCTTAGACTACCATAACCTACTTCGCTGTACGTTCTTATTGTAGACCCTCAAATGGAATCCATAGGGACCCTACAACAGAGTCGTTTTTGGTAGGTAGGTTAAGGTACATGCACATGAGCCTGCAAACAAGGATGTGATGCGGTGCAATGGTCTCTGGACACGCCGTCATTTTCCTTCTACAGGCCAGGACATCTGGGTGGTCACTGATTGAAAATCGTATGACTCAGTGCCCTAAACCTAAAACCCCGAACCGTGTTGGTAGCTGGCTGTTGTGCATGTTGCTTTTACGCCTGCCTTGTTGGGCGGGTGTTGGATCTGTTCATCTATGTGCTTGCATGCATGTATGCATGTATGTATGCATGTATACATGTATGCTTGTATGTATGTATGTATGTATGTATGTTTGTATGTATGTATGTATGTATGTACGTATGTATGTATGTATGTATGCATGTCTGTACCTATACATACAGTTTACGTATATATATATATATATATATATATATATATATATATATATATATGTATACATATATACATATATATATATATATATATATATATATGAGCATCCGTCAAAACTTCCGTAATTGTAGTTAAGAGTAGGGTGACCGTGGAATGTCGGATTTTGCCAATTTCCTTGGAAAGCGATAGGATGCCCCCAAAAGCGATACGATTAATGAGGATCCGCGGTATTTGTGCCTAGGTTTTCTGTGTGATATATGCCTAGGCAATCGATGCCCTAATCGGTACCCAATCGATACCCTAATCGATACCGACTAGATCGTTTTATGAGCCACTGCCCCACAAGGCAAGCTACGAGTAGGATCAGTGAGTCTGATGGTCTTCTCACTTTCACAAGAGCAAAGCGATACCTCACAGAAACATGTGACGGAATCCTTGTAAAGCGATAGGACCCCCCAAATCATCCATGGTCTGGCCATGAACAAGAAGTTTAGACAAACGCTCATATGAAAAACAAACATGTGTGTGCACATATAAATATAAATATATATATATATATATGTACATACAGAGAGAGAGAGAGAGAGAGAGAGAGAGAGACAGAGAAAGAGAAAGAGAAAGAGAGAGAGAGAGAGAGAGAATGAGAAAGAGAAAGAGAAAGAGAGAGAGAGAGAGAGAGAGATAAAGAGAAACAGAAAGAGAAAGAGAAAGAGAAAGAGAGAGAGAGAGAGAGAGAGAGAGAAAGAGAAAGAGAGAGAGAGAGAGAGAGAGAGCGAGAGAGAGAGAGAGAGAGGCAGGCACGCAGGCCTATAGATGGCCCCAAGCCCGACACCTTCTCCGAAATGGCACAAGGCCCTTCAGCTAAAAACACAGCACAAGATGCAGAGAGCATGATGATACTTTTCTGCACCCTTGACTGCACCTGAAGTCTCACACCAGGTATAGAGAACTTTTCTACTCCACGCCCTTCGTCCTTTCGCATCTGTGCTTCATGTTCGGGCAACGGCTTCAGGGAACAAATTCAACTTGCTCTCGACGTCAAGTCGCTAGACCTTAAAACCCCTCAAAGCAGGTGTCGAATATGTAGTAAGTATGCCGTTATAGTCCCTATATGTCGCTACATATACAAACCGGTAAGGCACAATATCAGGTAGATTGTCTTTCTTTGTTTGTTCTACTCCTGCTCCACCTAGCAGGGTTTTCGGGGTTTAGGGTTGAGGGTCCAGGGGTATTTTCAAACCGGTAGACTAAGGAGACCCAGGGTAGGCCCTTACTTATTCCCTTTTTTTGGGCTCAGGTTCCCTTATCAACCCCCTGTAAACCAAAAAGGGCACCCTTTTTTATTCCTCGGTTACTCTTAGGTCTAGTAGGGGGGCCCACCCGACTTAAACAACTAGGACCGAGAGTAGGCCCTGATTCTTTTTTGGGGGGGGTTTAGGTTCCCTTCTAACAGCCTTTAAGCCAAAAAGGGCACCCTTTTTATTCCTAGGTTACTCTTAGGTCTAGCCTCTGAAGCAGGCCGTTGGCCTACAGGCTCGTAAGATCCTTCCGAAACAGCAGGGCAGAAACCCTTAATATAGGGGCCTAAGTATTTACTTATACTATTTTTTGGGGGGGTTCTTGTCGTAATTATAGTATAATGGCCCCCCCAAAAGCCTGTTCTAATTATTTAGGCCCCTATATTACGGAACCATATTGAGCCCTAAAAAAAGCCCGATTGCCCATAAACCTCAGGCTTCAACCCGGAGCCCAAAAAGCAAAACCTTAAACGTCCTTCAACTTGAATTATAGGACTCAAAAAGCAGCGCTTAAGGTGCCCGAGACCTTAAGCCTTAAACCCAAAGAACCGTTGCGGACCGCTTCAAGCACCCCGTAAAGGAACCCCTAAAGTTTAAAGGGACCCATAACGCCAAGGATGCTCCGATATCCCTTGATTAAGTAGTGTACTTTAAATTATGGGGAAGCCTCAACCCCTGAACCCTACAGATCCGTTGCAGATCCCTTAAAGGAACCCTAGGATCCCTAAATCCCACTTTCTAACCCCAAACAACCTACCTTTTGAAGGACTTATCTAGGGTATGTTCTTTGGGTAACCCCTAGGCCCTTTAAACGGGCCCATGAAAACCCGAAACCCTAAACCCTAAACCCCAAAACCCTAAACCCCTAAGAGTATGGCCCTGATGTCACAGGTGATAGCATGAATGGATACAAGCAGATGGGGCTCAGGATGTGGTCATTGATGGAGGATCTGGGGATAAGCACTACCCGCCGACGCAAGGAATCGCAACGCTCATGTGTGGACAGGGAGTCAGAAGGATCCTACCTCAAGGATGTCTTTCACACTGCTCTGATACCCAGCCCACACGAGAGGAACTGGAAGCCGAGGAATCTACCCGAGATGTGGGAAGGCACTCAGCTGAGGACTGTGGCATCATTCAACCCCACTCATGCTGCAGACTGCACGTGGAAGACAGATGAGTCAAACCAGGGGGGAGACAACAGCAGCCTCGACTCTGCATGGGAGTGGCATCTACCTGTCAAGCCAGAGGAGCTCATCACAGCCAACGGCCTCGAGCGACAGATGCAGGACACCATAGCGAGGGTGTTCCCCCACGGGTTGCCGATGCTTGTCATAGCGAACGTGCAGGAGTACATGTGTGGGTATACCACCCGTATGTCATGCAGGCAAGATGATCACGTTCAGTCGAACCTCAGCCAAAAAGGGCACCCGTTTTATTCCTAGGTTACTCTTAGGTCTAGCCTCTGAAGCAGGCCGTTGGCCTACAGGCTCGTAAGATCCTTCCGAAACAGCAGGGCAGAAGCCCTTAATATAGGGGCCTAAGTATTTACTTATACTATTTTTGGGGGGGGGTTCTTGTCGTAATTATAGTATAATGGCCCCCCCAAAAGCCTGTTCTAATTGTTTAGGCCCCTATATTACGGAACCATATTGAGCCCTCAAAAACGCCCGATTGCCCATAAACCCCAGGCTTCAACCCGGAGCCCAAAAAACAAAACCCTAAACGTCCTTCAACTTGAATTATAGGACTCAAAAAGCAGCGCTTAAGGTGCCCAAGACCTTAAGCCTTAAACCCAAAGAACCGTTGCGGACCGCTTCAAGCACCCCGTAAAGGAACCCCTAAAGTTTAAAGGGACCCATAACGCCAAGGATGCTCCGATATCCCTTGATTAAGTAGTGTACTTTAAATTATGGGGAAGCCTCAACCCCTGAACCCTACAGATCCGTTGCAGATCCCTTAAAGGAACCCTAGGATCCCTAAATCCCACTTTCTAACCCGAAACAACCTACCTTTTGAAGGACTTATCTAGGGTATGTTCTTTGGGTAACCCCTAGGCCCTTTAAACGGGCCCATGAAAACCCGAAACCCTAAACCCTAAACCCCAAAACCCTAAACCCCTAAACCCTAACCCCTAAACCCTAAAGCCAAGGATGCTCAACATGCAGGGCTGCTACGCCCCCTGGGAGCTGAAGGGGAAGCCGACAGACAGAGACTTGCCGGCTTTAGGGCTTCGGGGTTTTCGGGGCCCTTTAAGGGATCTATAAAAGGGATGTATAAGGGTTCCTTTAAGGGATCTCTAACGCTTCCTTTTAGGGTTTAGGGTTTTAGGAGGGCTTCGGGGTTTTAGGGGTTTCTAGGGTTCCTTTAAAGGGTTCTGTAGGGGTTCCTTTAACGGGATCTATAGGGGTTTAGGGTTTGAGGGCTTCGGGGGTTTTAGGGGCCCTTTAAGGGATCTATAAAAGGGATCTATAAGGGTTCCTTTAAGGAATCTCTAAGGGTTCCTTGTGGGTTTTAGGGTTTAGGGCTTCGGAGTTTTAGGGGTTTAGGGTTTTAGGGGTTTGGGGTTTTAGGGTTCAGGGTTTGAGGGCTTAGGGTTTTCGGGTTCAGGGTTGAGGGTTTGAGGGTTTTAGGGGCTTAGGGTTGAGGGTTTGAGGGTTTTAGGGGTTTAGGGTTGAGGGTTAGGGTTTTAGGGGTTTAGGGTTTGAGGGTTTAGGGTTTAGGGTTGAGGAGTTTTAGGGGTTTTGGGTTCAGGGTTTGAGGGTTCGGGGTTTGGGGGGTTTAGGGTTTTAGGGGTTTAGGGTTTTAGGAGGGTTTTAGGGTTCAGGGTTTTAGGGGTTTAAGGTTTTAGGGTTTAGGGTCTATGCTTTACCTGGAGATCCAACAACCTGCCATTTTTAGGGTTCGACCCTCTAAGTAAGGGTTCATAACCTGCTGTTTCGTAGGGTTCGGGGTCACAGGTAGGGCTTAGGCAGGTATAGGGGAGTTTGTCCTTCGAGGATGGTTTAAGGAGGTTCCCCTGGGCATCAAAATAGCCCAAAAGCCTTATACAGTATGGTCTTTGAGCCCAAAAGCCTAAAACTATGAGTCCTTAGATGCCTAGGGTTCAGGGTTTATGGTGTAGGGGTGTTCAGGGTGCGTAAGGGGGTTTAGTTTGGGGCGGGTTAGGGTTGAGGCGGCTTGTGGGTTTAGGGGTTCAGGGTTTAGGGGGGCTTCAGGGCAGTTGAGGGTTAAAGTCAAAGGTATTAGGGGGATTTTGGGTTTGGGGGCAGTAAACCAAGACACCCTGAAGCGCACAACCCCAACACAGCCCAAATGACAGAGCCTACGACGAAGGTAGTAACGCCCTATAGAAGCCCATGAAGCCCTTTAACAAAGCCGATGTAACTTTACTAGCCCTAAACCCAGAATCTTCCCTGAAACCCAAATTTTCGACCCTAAACAACCCTAGACCCTAGACCAAACGGAATCCTAAAAACTCGGCATGCCCCCCCCCCCCCCCGTTTAGCGCCTCCTCAGGATACTATTGCGAGTATCTCTACGGGAACTTCAAGGCAACTTCCCTACGACGGGTCCCTCAAGTCCTAAGCGTTTAGGGTTTCAGGGTTCAGGGTTTAGGACTGAGGTTTCCGGGTTTACGGATTTACTGTTCAGGGTTTAGGGCTCAGGGTTTAGGGCTGAGGTTTTAGGGTTTAGGGGTTTAGGGTTTAGGGCTGAGGTTTTAGGGTTCAGGGTTTAGGGTTTTGGGGTTATTGATGCAGGGTAGGGTTTCTTTTATAGGGCTGTGCTGGGTGCACAGACGGCTGCTTAGGAACATCGGGGAGCGCCTAGTTGGGGTAAGGGTCCATGCACCTATATAGTCGTTACTTCGACCGGAAAGGGCTGCCTATCTGTAGTGCCGAAGTTATGCAAGACGGGTACAGGGACTGTTACGGTTTGTGGCAGGACCCCATCCCGCATACCCCTATGCCCCTTTTCATGTTGGGCCCCCCTTCTTTCAGTTTAGACTTCGCCTAGAGTAACCCAGGTACCTTAAACACGGGAGATGCAGTTGTTTTAATGTTAGACCGGTTTAATCTGTTGCGTTGGTTACTCTAGGTAGGGCTTACGGCCAAGGAACAAAGATCGGTAGTCCCTCATCATAGAAGCCTTCCTTCCACTGTGGGCTCCCGTTACAGGGATCTATAAGGGGCTCCGTTAAAGGTGCCTTTAGACACCCAGAGACTCGAATATCCCTTGATTAAGGAGTATACCTTAAATCATAGTAGGATCCCTAATATGATTTAAGGAATATTCCTTAATTAAGGGGTATTGGAGTCTTTAGACACCTCCTTTACGGGCGCTCTGGGAACTAGGGCTCAGAGTAGGCCCTTATTCCCTTTTTTAGGGTTTAGGTTCCCTTACAACACTCTTTAAGTCAAAACGGGCACCCTTTTTAGTCCTAGGTTACTCTTAACTCTAGGGAATTGCTTGGGTTGACACGTGGTTGCTCTTACTGCTCCCTGCTGTGAGGTTGCCACATAGGGGCTTTAGCGAGTTGAATGGTTCCGTTCTACATAGTCGTATAGCTGTCTAGCGACGATAAAGGAATTTTACTAACTCTTCAAAGCCCTGCATCATTTCCCATTCCGAGTCTTTCAGGCCGTTTTTATTTTGTCATGATCATGACCATGGGGAGTTACATGTGCTGCTTATTCTTAATATCATCATCGCGTTTAAACTCAGATTTCTGCTTTATTAAAAGGTGGCTTTCAGGGTTCCTTCAATAAGGTTTCCTTTAAGGGTTCCATTACGGGTTCCGATAATGGAGTTCTCCTTGCAAGGTCTGTTCCAGGTTTTCTTTGTAGAAGCTGGGTTGCTCGAAAACCTTCCCGTGGGAAGGAAGTGTGGTGTCGGTTTTCCGAGCAAATTCTCTGATACCTAGCCTTTCCAGACCTTCCAACATCGCCTGATCATGGAGTATACCTTAGAATATAGAGGTATCCCTTATATGATTTCGTGTCTTAATAGAAGGGACTTTGGAAGGTCTGGGTTGCAACGTCCCGTTCTCACCAAACATAGGGCCAGGCACCCCGAGAACAAGGTTCTGGTGTGAGGTTACTTTACACTTGGAGGGTCGGGGGACTTAGTAAGTAGGTAGTAAGTAGACTTATAAGTACCCTAAAAGGGACCCTAAATGGGGTTATGGTACTTATAAGTCCCTAAAATAACCAGTTACTAAGTCCCCCGACCCTCCAAGCAGGGTCATGGGACTTAGTGACACTAGGGTCTGGTGATCACTTACAGTCTAAGCCATCTACAGGTGGGTAGTTTTAAGGTGGGTAGTCTCCCATAAGCCTTCCATACCACTCCTATAAGGTAAAGGGGTCTTATGGGAGTAATATGGAAGAGGAACTACCCACCTGAAATGGGCTTCTATACAGCCCCGGTGAATGTACTCATAACTATACTCGCTAAGTCCCATGAAACTCCAAGTTAGGTCTACCAAAGGTGAAAGCAAACAGTGGACAAGGCTCAGTCCCTAAGACTCCATGTGCCCACGTAGTTGGTACTTAGGCCTTAAAGGGGACCCTATATAGACACTTTGTTGAGGCCTAAGTATGTACTATATGGGTACATGGAGCCTTAGGGAGTCGATAACCATTCAGTTATTTTTGGGGGTGCGTTTAGGGGTTCAGGGTTTGGGCTTTCCGCACAGACCATCTATCATATTTCAAAGGGGAGAAGGAGGGACCCTTAATGGGACCCCTGCCCTCTAATGGGCTATATAATGGGTATACAAGAGCTATATTATGGGTATTATACCTAGGGGTCCTTATTAAGGGTCCTTCCTTTTACCTTTGGAATTTTGGTGGTTTCAAGCTACTGCGTTGAGTTGTAGGTTACCCGAATGCTCCTGGACCCTCGTAGTGAGATCCCAAACCCTAGCCCCCAAAGCCCAAACCCTCCCCCAGAGATCCCATGACTCTCTTTGGAGCCTTACGGTAGAGGCTCGAGCCATCGATTGGTTTTGCCAGGCAACTCTCTGTGGGAAAGTGGACGAGAACAATTTCTGGCGAGTCAACGGCCAGGATTTGTATTTTCCCACAGTGCCTCCGTCTTGATTTAGAGTTAGGGTGGTTGTATTTGGCCAGCAGCCTAAACCTAAACCCTAAGTGCATCGTGAATGTACCCTAAACCCCATACAGTAGAAGCCAGAAAGTTGGAATATCATTATCGTAACCCCTTTAAGGTAAATCATAGGGGATCCTACCATTAATCCATATTCCAACTTTCTGGAGTTCCCTTTAAGTAAACCCTAAACCTTACTCGAATACAAGACGTCGCAATTAGCTTAGGAACCTCGAGCCTCGAACTGCAGCTGCTGTTTCAACGGTGCAGCAGAATCCAACAGCTGTTTAGCGTGTTTCGGGTGTGGCAAGCCCAACAATAAGTTATTGCAAGAAAGGACAACTAGTTTCACAGTTTACCTCTTTAACGAAACTTGGATGCCAAATGCGTGTTTTTCGGTCAGTATCTTTGTGCTGTCTATGTCTAACCGACCTCGAAACAAGCTTTAGTGCGTGATACCGCCATGTATGCCTCCATGTCCAACACATATTCTGACGCCCTATGTGAGAGTTCCCAAAAGTAGGGGACCCTAATAAATAGTAGGATCCTTATTATAATAGTAGGATCCTTATTACAAGGATTCAAAACAAGGTACCCCTAATTTTCGGAAACCCTAAACCCTTATAGTAGCCTTTTAAAGGAACCCTTGTAGTCCCCCCTTTAAAGGAACCCTAAGATACCCCTGATTTTCGGAAACTCCATATAACCTAAACCCTAGACCCTTTATAGAACCTTATAGATCTTTTTGAACCCTTAAAGGAACCCTTTAAAGGAACCCTACTTGGAGGCCCTTTTGACTTAGTAAGTAGGGTTAGTAAGGTGGGTTATGGGGATTATAATGGGGTTTCTAGGGGATACTAAGTAGACTTACTAAGTCAACAGGGCCTCCAAGTAAGGTACCCCTAAGTTTCGGAAACTCCCATATTAGAGGGTTTATAGATCCCTTTAAGGAACCCTTAAAGGCCCCCTTTAAAGGAACCCTAAGGTACCCCTAAGTTTCGGGAACTCCCATGTCTTCCCAGACCTCCAAGGCCTGAGCCCCGACCCTAAAAGGCTCCATGGTACCTTTATAGTAACTTGGTTCCTTTAGGGGTTCCTTTAAGGGCTCCTTTAAGGGTTCTATAAGGGTTCTATAGGGTTTAGGGTATATGGTACCTTTATAGTAGATACTTATGCCTTAAAGGTGTCACTATATAGGCACTTTAAGGCCTAAGTCCGTAAGTATATGCTATATGGGGTACATGGAGCCTTCGGGACCCCTATAAGAAGCCAAAAGTTGCAAACTTGTGGATTCCGGCTTCAATGTTTGAATCTCTGTCCAGACCTCTGAGGTGCATCTACCGTTCCCTTTAAGGGCTTCCTTTAAGGGTTTAGAGGTTGGGTTCCTCTAAGGACTAATAGGATGAGGATATCATAAGGGTTAGAGTTTAGGGTTTAGGGTATCAGGGTTTATCGAAGTTTTTGGTACAAAGGTCCATGTCCATATAGAGGGGTTTTCTGATGAGTTCTTTTACTGGATGCTATAGGGTTCTTGATAAGGGCGCTATAGGATACAATACTAGGGTCCCCTTAAGGGCTCCTCTGAAGGATCTTTGGTCTGCAAGGGCTGTACATGGACCCTTAGGGCTACAGTCGTAGCATGACTCATCGAACTGTTTAGGCCACTATATCTTGGCGTACTTCTGGTTGACTCGTCGGACTTTAACTTTTTGGGTTACTTAATATGAACCATAATAAGGAGGCTAAAAGTTTAACTTTTAGGAGGGGTTCAGAAGTCAGCCAAGACAGTTCCAATGCGTGTGTGAGACTTTGATTCCGCTGGTCACGCGCCCTTTGAGGCATCGTCGTTGCTTCTGACTTGCATCTGATTCTACGGTGCTTCAGTTGCTTCTACACGTCTCTACACGCTCCCAGACCCAAACCCGACACCCTGACCCCTGAACCCTAAAACTAAATCCTCAGCCCGGAACCAGCACCCCTCAAGTGCCCTTGAACAGAGCCGTTACGGTCCTTAATAGTGGGTATTTAGGATATAATTAGAGGGTAGTCCCAGGGTGCTGGTATATCCTAAACACTAGACCCCTAGATGCCGAAACCCTGAACTCTAAGCCCTGAACCCATTTGGGGAACGACAGGATAACCCCAGAACCCTGAACCCTAGACTGACCCTGAACCTACGCCCTAAACCCTAAACCCCTAAACCCCTAAAACCCTGAACCCCTAAACCCCTAAACCCTAAACCGCTGCAAGCGAGATCGAAGCTGGCTGTGGAGAACACATCTGCATGTGCCACGGTCACTCGGACACGCCCCTTGCAGGCATTGTCGCCGGTTTAGTGTTTTCGGGTTGTATCGTATCCTCTTTATAAATATATAGTAACCTTCTAGAAACCTTCTATTGGATTTCCAGTAGCCGTAGAGTTTCAAGTAGTTTCAAATCTCTGGCATCATGGTTACCTCAGGGTCGCTGCACGTATACTACGTAGGCCTTAGTTAGTACATCAAGCAGTTGCTATATATAGGTACATGACCCTTCAGGTCTAGAAGCTTCAGAAATGAGGATTTTAGGGTGTGGCATTTATGGAAGAGAGAACTGAACCCTAAACCCTGAACCCTAAAACCAAAAGCCTACCCCCAAACTAAACCCCACCAAGAAGCCTCTCCAGACACGCCGCTGTTTCCCTTTGAGCTACAGGTTTCCTTCAAGGGTTCCTTAAACTAGTAAGGGTCCTACAAGGTGCCTATAATGTTTGGGGTTTAGGTTAGTTCAGCGTTTATTTAGAGGATTAGTTTCCAGGGTGCGGGGTTCAGGAAGGACATGGGTCTCTATGCATAGGCGTCAACTTCTGGCTCTCAAAGGAGATTGCATGAAACGGAGCGGAAGCCGCCAAACATGGAAGCCAACATCAGCTCTTGTAACAAGCACACCATGGTTTCACCCTAAACCCTAAACCCTAAACTCTAAACCGGGTCTCTTGTCGCATAGGTAGCAGGATCAATCCGAAACCCTAAAGCTGGACGACTGCGGTGCTACTGATGATGATATGAATCCTACATTACCTAAAGGACCCTAAACTATGGGAATTATGGTATATTCCTTATTATGGGTAATGCAGGATTTATATCATCAACCGTATGTCGGAACCTCCAGAGTGACTTTTAGGGCCAAGGCATTTACTCTATGGGCGCAAGGGCACTGACCTGAAGGCTCCATGTACTTAAGTAGTAAATACTTAAGCCTTAAAGTACCTATATATCGGAGAGGCACCGCTTCAAGGCCAAAACAACTAGGAACTCCTTCCAAGTCCGGTGTTGCCATGGGGCAGCAGACGAGTGTCCATGTGCGGCTGCAGGATTTGATTACTGGGCTTCGCGAGAGCACCTTGAATGCAGTGCTTGGTGTTCGAAGCTGCGCGGAACTGAAAATCCTTGTCCAGGCAAGTCCTCCCGAAGCTGGTGGTTTGCAACAAGCCATCGAGATACAAGTTTCGGAAGGTTCTTCAGGCTCGGCAAAGCGTGTAGACTTCGAGCCACAGTTCCTAGAGGCACTATCGGAAGAGGAAGAGGCACGATCGGTAGAGGAAAAGACAGCAACAACCCCGGACAGCTGGAAGAATTGTACGGCGGAGCTTACCTGCAGAGAGGGTGGTCAGCGACTTTCCGATGATGATCGCTCCAATGCATTGCTGACAGCAGCTTTCCATAGTAGTCGAGTTTATGATTGTTCAGACTGTCTGGTTTCAACTTATACCAGCCTTTTTCGCAATAACACAAGAACGTATGTAAAGGTTTTGCTGTGCAACTCCAACCCTAAAACCCTATACACCCTAGCCCTAAACCCTCAAAGCCCTACACCCTTAAAATCTTAAGCCCGAAGCCCTCAAAGCCCTACACCCTTAAAATCTTAAGCCCGTAAAGCCCCCGTAAACCCTAAACCCTGCCCATAGGCCCCAGAGTAGTTCCTTTGTGGGATTACCTTACAGGATTCTATATACGAACCCCAAAAAGGAACTACTTTGGGGCCCTTGAACGGCCCCCAAAAGAACGGAGCCCTGAGGTACTGGGAATCCGCTTGGGACTCCTTCAGCCAAGGAGGCCTCGCTGTGACTCCACCATCATCGCCTTGGTCGAAGCTCTGAAGAGGACGTACGTAGTTTAGCGAGTTTTGCGTTTGGTTTAGGGTTTAGGGTTCAGGGAGTTTTGGGTTTAGGGTTTAGGGACGTGGGCTTAGGGTGACGCACTAAGTGGCTGAACTGAGTGTAGGGTTTGCGGCTCTCAAGAGGACGTACTACATAGCTGAACTGATTTGGGGTTCAGGGTTTAGGGGTTTAGGGCTCTGAAGAGGACGTACTAAGTAGTTGAACTGGGTATACTTTACACTATTGGGGATCATGCTTTCCCTTGTAAAACCGAAGGTTACACTGTGCAAGGCTTATGAGCTCAGCAATGCAACCTAGCAGAGAAATAGCCTTCAACTTGTTTGGGGCAGTACAACCCCTGAATAACCCCGGAGGTTTAGGTTTACCTTTAGTTCTCTAGGAAACTGGGCTAGTAAGAGGAATTCCACGGTTTCGTCGCTTCATCTTTGCATCCCCTGGGCGGGTCCACAGCATCTGAAGTCACTGGTGGAGCTGCTACGCGAGAACTCCACTTTGAGGGCCCTGGAGCTTGAGGTTGTCGACTCTGTTATTTGCCAAAGGAGCAGTAACTTTTCCCTTATTTTGTGGCCGTACATAGCTAAATCATACAGTAGAAGCCAGAAAGTTGGAACATCACTGGCCTCATGCCCCTGAAGTAAAATATAGGGAATCCCAGCATGAATCATCCTAAATCTATGTTCCAACTTTCTGGGGTTCACTATAATCATGGAGGGCCTTGGAGCTTGAGGTTGTGGATTCTGTTACTTGGCGTTCTTCTGGTCGGCTCTTAGGACTTTAACTTGTTGGTATTCTCTATGAGCTATAGTAAGGAGGCTAAAATAAGATTAACTTTTAGGAGGGGTTCAGAAGGCAACCAAGGCTATTTGTCAAAAGAGCAGCATTTTGTTGTTTTCCGTCTTTCCAGCTTTCAGCCACACCATAACTAAAGCATAGCTTCATAGTCATATGGAATCCTCAAGGTGAAGCCCTAAACCATCTTTCCTGAATCCCAAACCCTAAACCTTAAACCCTAAACTTCCTCAAGGCAATCGGTCAAGTCAGGTTCGTCTCAGCTCCGAGGAGGCGGATGCAGTGGTGGAAGCCTGCAAGCTGAACCTCAGTCTTCAAAGATTTTCGGTGGTTCATGGCATCGGCTACGAGGAGGACGAACTCCCGTTAGGAGAGCCGATACATGCATTCTTGGAAAGGAATCTTGGCGTTCTCCTGGTTGGCTCTTAGGACTTTAACTTTTTGCGGTTCCATAGGAACTACAATGCGGAGACTGAAAGTTTAAGTTTTGGGAGGGGTTGAGAATTCAGCCAAGGAATCGTGAAGCATCCCGTATGCACCAAGCACTTTCCCAGGTGTCGCACATGCAACAAGGTTGTGCGCTTGCCTGGCCAAATGTTGCTTTCCGCTGCTACGTGCTTTCATTCGTGCTGCCACCAGGCCGGGTGTTTCCTCGAAGCAGTTGGTTCCGGCTGGTTTAAGCCGACAACCTGCCACAAGCGCGGTTATGGAGGGGTTGCAGTTGAAAAGTTGCGCATCGGGCTTGGAAAGCCTCACGGTTTCATCAACCCTAAACCCTAAACCCTAAACAGCAGTGGGAGAAACCAGCCTTAGCATATAAGCAAACTTTCATTGGACTTCCCATGAGCAGAGAATATGTATAGGCCTGAACAAACAGTACAACTCTTCTCCAGTGCTTGCCTTCACAATGAGACTGGAATATTCCTCAAAACCTAACTCTAATTATTATGGTGCAACCCGTGCATTTCCCCTTCGAGAACCGTTCTAAAGTTCTAAAGGAAACCTGAAAGGGAACCCTTTTCAAATGAGTAAGGCTCCTACAGTAGGTGTTCTCCAGAATGCTGCTTGGCTGCTGTCAGCCCTTACGCCCCCTGGCCCCAAGTGCCACATCCTCTCGCATGCTGCTTGTAAACCACTAGAGTGCCATATATATACATATATATATATACATACATACATATATATATATATATATATACAGTCTCCACTGTAGCTTCTTTTTGCTTGACCAGTATTTACTGTTAAGATCCTGCAATGTAAAACTGGCAAACCAGTAAAAAGGAACCACACATGGAGACTATACCTGGTGGTCCTTAAAGTTAGCCTACTTGGAGGGTCGGGGGACTTAGTAAGTAGGTAGTAAGTAGACTTATAAGTACCCTAAAAGGGACCCTAAATGGGGTTATAGTACTTATAAGTCCCAAAAATAACCAGTTACTAAGTCCCCCGACCCTCCAAGTAGGTACTTGGCCCTAAACCGAAATTCCAGACCCCATTGGCCGCGGACACTCGGAGAACCTTTCAAGAATTCTCCGAGGTGCGAAGTTCAGTGAAGAAAAAGCCGCTAAAGGAGAACACGAAAAGCCCTAATATAGGGGCCTAATGATTCCCTATACTATTTTGGGGGTTCCTCAGTATAATTATAGCACAATCGGCCCAACAATCCTATTCTAATTGTTAAGGCCCCTATATTGGTTACCTAGTTCAGGGCTTTGAAGCCAACGGCTAACGAAGGGACGAGGGAAGATCGTTGAAGTTGGGTCTTGGTTTGCCGTCGGATTGGCGGCTCCGGCCATCGGGCCGGGCGAAGGTCGAGGGTTTAGGGTTTAATTCAGGTTTCGGGTTTAGGGCCTAGGGTTTTGGGCTTAGGATTTCGGGTTTAGGGCTTAGGTTTTCGGGCTTAGGGTTTGCAGGCAGCTTGCCAAAGAGAGAGCCGTGAGACTGCGTAGACCCAGTCCCTGCGCTAAGCCTAGATGTTGCTTTAAGCCTAACCTCCAACTCTACGTGGGTTGGTGGTAAGGAATGTGATCTAGTTGTATATGCAGAGACACGTTTCCGGAAAGAATTGCTCTGTCTCCTTATCAGCTTCAAGCTGACTGTATAGAAGTTTGTCAAAATGCAGATGAACTGAAACCCTAAACCCAAAACTCAAACATCCAAGGTTCATAGACTCCAATCTCGAGCACCTTTGCCGGATGCTCGGCGAATATGCTGTCAATGGCCAGCAAGCTTGCTACTATAGGGGCCTGACTAATTACCAATACTATTTTGCGGGTTCCATCTTTTAACCATAGTATAATGAGCCCCAAAGCCCTTTTCTATTTATTAAGGCCCTTATAGTAATTCGTTGAAGGTTTAGGGTTATCTTATATCCCCTAAGCCCCTAAAGGGTCTAATTAAGGGGTACACCAAACCCGAAATACTTGCTTTTGCTGAAGTCGGTCACCTAACAGCAAAAGCGATTGAGGAGGTACACGGAGAGTTATTCGAGGCTTGTGCAACAACATTGGAAGACCCCAGGCTCCAGGTATGTGACGGCCCGCTTCATTCCTTGCAATACTGTTGCTTTTGGAGGGTCTTCGTTGATCAGTTGTACGTACTGCTGGGATGCACGGATGATGCCGACCTTATCACGACAAAGTTAAGGCGTCGTGCCTGGGCGTTTCTTGTTTTCAGTTTCGTTGTAGGTTGATGGACAAAATCCTGCATGACCCATAATAAGAAATATATGGAAATTATGGTATAAGCCCTAAACCCTAAATCCTAAACCCTAAACCCTAAACCCTAAATATTCCTTATTATGGGTCATGCAGGATTTTGTCCATCAGCCGTAGGTCGTGTGATTGTTGTTGCTCGGATATGGGTTGCTCCTCCCCTACTAGGAGCCAGAGTAGGCCCTTATTCCCTTTTTTAGGGTTTAGGATTTAGGGTTTAGGGTTTAAGGTTCCCTTATAAGCTCCTTTTCACCAAAAAGGGCACCCTTTTTATACCTAGGTTCCTCTTGGGTCTAGCCTAAATCCTCGCTTTTGACGTGTTTTTGCACTCCAAGCACGAAGACCTAAATACGACAGCACAGTGCCTGAAGGAGGTGATATTATGGAATGACATCATGAATCGTAATTTAGGTCCCTGCACTGCTACAAGGACATAAAATGCTCCCGAAGCCTTACATGTAGCATATGTCAGTTGCAGGGTTCAGGGTTTTGGACCCCTCCCGCTCCAATGGGTTTAGGGTTTAGGGTTTAGGGCCCAAGCCATAAAACACTATAACCCTAAACCCCAGAACTCTAAACCCAAGATGCCTAAGCCCTAAACCCTGAACAGGCCCCTTTAAAGGAACCCTTATAGACCCCTTAAAAGGAACCCTTCTAGACCCCCTTAAAAGCAACCCTTATAGACCCCCTTAGAAAAAACCCTTATAGACCCTTTTTAAAGGAACCCTTATAGACCCTAAGGATCCCTTTAAAGGAACCCTAGGAGCTTTTAAGGATCCCTTTGATGGGAAGCCTTAAACCCTCAAGGAAGGGAGAGGAGCCCTACTTCATGGGCCAATGGGGCCAGGAGCGGCTTGGGGGTTATAATATGTTTTTTATGTCTGGGTTTAGGGTTTTAGGGGGTTTGGGGTTTTGGGTTTAGGGTTTAGGGGTTTAGGGGTTTAGGGTTGAGGGCTTTAGGGCTTTAGGGTTCCGGGATTTAGGGTTTAGGGCTTTAGGGTTTAGGGGTTTAGGGATTTGTTAGGGGTTTAGGGCTTTAGGGTTTAGGGGTTTAGGGTTCTGTTAGGACTCTAGGGTGTAGGGGTTTAGGGTTTTGTTAGGGGTTTCGGGTTTTACGGTGGCAGGGTGGCAAAGGTCGGGATTTAGGTGTTTGCATTTTGGTGTTTGAGGGGGCTTTACGGTGGCAGGGTGACAAGGGTGAGGATTGAAGTGTTTGCATTTTGGTGTTAAGGGTGTTTGGGCTCAGTGTTTTTGTGGAGATTAACGGCTCATTTCATGAATTTAGATTTGGAAGGTTTCGGTTTAATTATAGGTTTTGTGGCTTTCGGGTTCTCGGGTTTTGAGGTGTGATATAAACCCTAAACCCTAGACCCTAACCCGTAAGTCCCCTAAAGATCCCAAACCCTGAACTCTTAAAACTCTTCCCCTAGGGCTCCGAGTATGAAATCTATCAATATCACAGGGACCCTTTGGGCGGTAGGGGGAGGGGGGTAGGAGGCCAGACCTTCCTTAAATGGGCTTTTGTAAGCCCTTATTATAGGTATTAAGGCCCTATTTTTCAGGGTCCTCATGAACATGGCTCCTTATTATTCTAGTTTTCTGTACCCAAAAGCCCTACTCTGAATTATTACGGCCCCTAAATTTCCTACTTTGGATTGTTTGGAGCCACGAGGTTTGCCAACCTCAACCCTATCTGGGGATCCAAAAACCTACTGCTTCAGGGGTTGGACCCTCCAGTTACATTAGGGCTTATGGATGAGGAGGGATTACGGTTTAGCGTTTATGGATTCGGGTTTAGGGATTAGGGCTTAGGGTTTAAGTAAGGGGTCATAGCCTACAGTTTGTGCTGCTAAGGTCTTTCTGTCGATGAAGACAAGCATGTTCACACAATAATCATCACCATCGGAGTTTGGGGATACAGGTGAGCCCTAAACCCTGCCGTAAGGGTCCAGGTATCTCCTTAGGAGGGTCCGGAATATCCTAGGGAGAGTCCTCGGCTCTCTTCGGAGTCTCAGAAATCCTACTTTCTGAGGTTCCTCAAAGTGTTAGGACCCTTAGAGTAAACCCCTAAAGCCCTCCTTTGCCCGAAACAGCACACAGGTAAGCCCTAAACCCTAAACCCTAGAGCATCCCCTGGCCTATGGGGCCTTTGTCTGGCAGACTGGATTGCCGGGTGAAAAAGGGGCTCAAAAGAAAAGCACACAAAAAAAACCTATACCAGCGGGCAGGACAGGTTCCTGGTGGAGAATGTCTTTGGGAACTTGAAGGGTCCCGGGCTCTACGTCGACGTGGCCTGGCACTGTCAGGGTTTAGGGGTTTGTGGTTTAGGGGTTTCGGGTGTAGGGGTTTAGGGTCGAGGGTTTAGGGTTGAGGGTTTAGGGTGTAGGGGTTTTGGGTTTATAAGGTAGAGATTTAGTGTAAAAACCCTGAATGGTTACTCCCAGACCTTCCAAAATCCTTTCTTCAAAGAAATTTCCCTGAATGGTCACTCATATGCTGTAGTATCATACTGTCCTATACCTCGGCACCCTCTTCTAGTCAATTCAACTTCGTATCATAGATACCAAAGTAATTATCAGTACAGTTTTTCTTGTTTATCTATCATAGTTGCTGAGTATTTTAGACACTAAGTCCCAATTACCTAAACGCCAAACTCTACATACTACTGCCTTAGGACCTACATGCCATAATAACTTAAATGCCCTAAACCCGAAATGCCCGACTCGTGAGGTGGGAACCTCTCACCCTTTCCATCTCTCCAACACTGCGTGTCGCGGCTGAAATTGGATAACGGGTTTAGGGTTTGCAGACCAGGGTTTTAGAAAGCTCTAGTGAGCCTACCCCGAACTAAACCCCTCAAAATCCTGAACTCGAAATGCCTCTTACAAGGACTAAAACCCTAAACCCCCAACCCTAAAACCCTAAAGCCCTAAAACCCTGAACCCTAACATCCTAAAACTTTAAAGCCCTAAAACCTTAAAACCCTAGAACCCTAAACCCTAACACCCTAGACCAAAGCAGTGCTTAGAGGTTCATGGGACTTAGTAACTAGGGTTATAACTAAGGTAACTACACTTACATGTACTTATATGACTTCAATTAAGATACTTATAGCTGTACTTACGAAGTCCCATGAACCTCCAAGTAGACTCTTAAACCCTATAGATCCCTTCAAGGAACCCTATAGATCCCTTTAAGGAGCCTTTTAAGGAGCCCCTTCAAGCACCTACGTACTAAGATTAAGGAGCCCTTGAAGCACTTACTAAGTCCCATGAACCTCCAAGTAGACTCTAAACCATAAACCCTATAGATCTTTTTAAGGAACCCTATAGATCCCTCTAAGGAGCCAAACCCTAAAGATCCCTTATAGGAGCCCTTATAGGGGCCCTTATTGATCCCTTTAAAGGGGCCCTAAACCCCAAAAAACCTAGTAGGAGGCCCTGTTGACTTAGTAAGTCTACTTAGTATCCCCTAGAAACCCCATTATAATCCCCATAACCCACCTTACTAACCCTACTTACTAAGTCAAAAGGGCCTCCAAGTAGTAGGAATCCGAAGGTTTCTGGACAGCTGCCTCGGTTGGCGGGGTGTCTGCCTTGAGCCGAACCCACGGCTACACCACGATGCTTGTCTCAATACAGGGATCCTTTAAGGGTCCCTTTAAAGGGATACTATAAGGGTACTATAAGGGTTCCTATAAAGGGTACTATAAGAGTCTTCCATGAAAGGGATCCTTTAAGGGTTCCTTAAAGGGATCTAAAAGGGTTCTATAAAGTGTTTAGGGTTTAGGTTATATGGGTGTTTTCGAAAATGGGGGGGGGGTACCTTATTTTGGGGGTCCTTACAATAAGGATCCTTCTCTTCAGGGTAGCCCCTATTTTCGGAAACTCCCATAGAGGGGCCTTAACAGAATAGGGTTCCTTTAAACGGGTCTATAAGGGATCTATAGCAGGGCTCTAGATCAGGTGCCAAAATGACTACCGATACTATTGTAGGGGTTCCTTGTTATGGTTCCAGAAAATTAAACCCCCAGAACCCTGTTCTGATTATTCAGGCCACTACGGTTTAGGGTTTAGGGTTTAGCCACTATATTACAGTGTTTTCCACTTTTAGTGTCTAGAGTTTGAAGGATTGAGGCTCACGGTAGCGATTCGTGTACAGGGTTTAGCGATCTAGGGTTTAGGGCTTTGGGGTTTAGGGTCCAGAGTTTGGTGTCTATGGTGGCCGGGACTGTGGGGCTTTGTGTTTGAGGCTTTTTGCGTGGGGTTGGGCGCGGATGTTCTGCAAAGCCGAAGCCTAGCTTTGAAAACCACTCTTGCGCCCTAAACCCTAAACCCTAAACCGGTTTAAGGCTTGGGGATTTGCATTGACTTAGACTAGCCAAGGTACCCTAAAGCAGGGAGATGTACCTGTCGGGTCGTATCATACTCCAGTATAGTCCAGTAACAACTTTTACGAGGACCTAGAGTAGGCCCTCATTGCCTTTTTTTGGGGTTCAGGTTCCCTTACAACCCCCTTTAACCCAAAAAGGATACCCTTACTATTCCTAGGCTACTAGGTCTAGTTTAACAACCTACATTGGTTCCTCTGGGCTGTAGGTTTCGCTTTCTTGGGGTTTGAGGGCTTAGAGGGAACTTCATTGCTGCGCGAAAAGCCTGCACAGCACGACCGAGGCAGTCATCCTGAGGTTCTGAAGCCTTGATACCGCTGGGGTTTAGGGTTTAGGGGGTTAGGGCTTAGGGTTTAGGGTTTTCTCCCTATAGATGCTGTCATTTAGGGACCCAAAAAGCACATAAGCATAAGCATTTTATAGGGATATCCCGACCTTGATGGGCTTCATTATAAGGGGATTTATATGGGATATCCCTACCCTAATTTTTGCTTATGTGCTTTTTTGGGGCCATACTAAAGCCTTGATACCCCTGCAACTTTGTCGGAGTCGGGTAACACTTCACAGGTTTATGGTACTTGTGTAAACCCTGGAAGGAATAAGCAAGTAGATTTGTAATTCTATGCCAGCCATCGAGCAGGTAAAGCTCACAGTGGAATGCCTATGAATTACACGGACCTGCCCAAGATCATCTGCGACCCTAAGCCCTAAGTATCCCTAAAGCCTGTAAAGCTGTGCTATCCTTCTCCAGGTCCTGCGCGGTCTCCGGCGTTTCGGCTGAAGCTTAAACCCCGAGGTGTTGAGCTTTGCAACATAGGGTTTTTTTTATGGGAGTCTCCGAAAATCGGGGACCCCAATATGGTACCCTAAATAATCCTTATTATAAGGACCCGAAATGAAGTAATTTCCGGAAACTCCCAGACGTGGTTGGCCCATGGGTTCTTCAGGTTTTGATACCCCCTTTTCTAGAGTTTACGTGAGGCCGAGGGTCTGCTTTGTCTTTCGTGTTCGTGCTTTCCGCTTTGACTTGGCCATAACTTCAACAGAGGGAGGGTAATTACTTCCTTCTTGGCTGTACACTCAGCTTTTCAACCTCTGGGGTGCTTATAAGGTAGTCGATTCTGAAAGTTTCCACCTTTATTCCCTTGGGTTTTGGGCCAGTGAGCTTCTGGCATGATATGGTAGGGAATTTAGGGGGTACCAGTAGAGCTGTACACATCTTCTTGACCATGCAAGTTGCTCTCACAGGACCTGTTCTGTGGTGAACGCCTGCGCCTGGGCCAACGAGACCTCTTTCAAGCCTCTCGCCTGGGTTTGGTGTTGCGGCTTGCGAGTGCACCTAGGGAGTCCAAAATACTTTTCATCTGAGTTTATTGAGGGTGCAATTCTTCGGTTGCCCAGGTAGAAACCTTAAACGTGAAATAATGTTGGTGTTTTCTCGATAAGCAGCATGCATTCTGAGGAGTGCGACAGAATTCATATGAGTATTTCTCCAATTCGGTGTCCCTTTCTAGGGACAAAAATAGGTACGGCACCCTTGCATAAAGGATCCTAAGAGGGACATGGCTGAAACCATCACCACGGTGTGATTCTTCAATCCTCAACCCCCCAAGAGTCTAAGCCCTAAGCCTCAAGCCCGAAATCGCAATCCCCTGCCTTCAACAATTGGATCCAAACGGGACAAGTCCTAGGCTGGTGAACCTCTTATACTTATACATAACAATCATACAAGTTATTTACATCCAAAAGCACACATATGTACGTACATACATACATACATACATACATACATACATACAATGGCATGCATACATACATGCATACAAACACAGAACCTCTCTAGATAATCAGCATTCAGCAAATGTGCTTACTGCTTACCAGAGTCTTTCTAAATCCGTGGGGGTCAGGGGTGCTCAGTGCAACTGTCTTTTAAAACACCCCCAAAACAGAATTGACCATTTAGCCCCTATAGGCCCTGAGCCCTAAATGGCCCTTGATCCTAAACCCAAAGCCCTAAACCCGGCCCCTTGAACCAAACAATTCCAAAACCGCCCGAAAGCCCCCAGCCCGAAGGTGCAGGGGAACTCACCCCCTTCAACATCTAGGACCCAGAGTAGGCCCTTACTCCCTTTTTTGGTGGTTCAGGTTCCCTTGTCACACCCTTTTTTCCAAAAAGGGCACCCTTTTTGTGCCTAGGTTATTCTAGGTCTAGTAGGGGAACCCACCCCCCTTCAACAACTACGACCCAGAGTAGGCCCTTATTCCGTTTTTTGGGGGTTCAGGTTCCCTTATAACACCGTTTAAGCAAACAAAGGGCACCCTTTTTATTCCTGGGTTGCTGATAGGTCTAGTAGGGGTTAACTTAGGTCCAGCTAGGGGTTTTGGGTTTAGGGTTAAGGGAGCCCACCCCCTTCAACAAAAAACATCACCCTTAGGGTCCGAGTACCCTAAACCCCTCTGCGCCCTAAACCCCAAACCCTAAAACCCTACACCCTTAAACACTAAAACCCTAAACCCTGAAGCCCTAAACCCTACACCCTAAACTCTAAGCCCCAAACCCTAAACCCGAAACCCTGCACCCTAAACCCTAAACCCTAAAACCCTAAACCCTAAACCTTAAACCTTAAGCCCCAACCCTTAAACCCGAAACCCTACACCCTAAACCCTAAAACCCTAAATTCCCACCCAGGCCTGCTTAGGCCGTGCCCCCCCCCCCCTTTTTTTAGGGTGCCTGGACCCAGAAGGAAATCCGGCAGCGATTGACACCAACTCTGGATGGACAATGGGTGGAGCCATTGGAGAGTGGTCGAATTCAGCCCCTAGGACTGAGCCAAGCCACTAGCCCATATTCGCAGAAAAAATTCCTTCGAATCTCAAGAGATTAAAACACCCTAAACCCCACGACCAAATCCCTGGTGGTCGTTTCCATTTGGCTCCGTTCAGAAAAGGCCCCAGAGGCCGGCCCGGGGGGCCCCCCAGCTGGCAGATTCCAGGGACCCGTGGCCTCTGGTCTCCCGGCCTCCCCCAAGGCGCCTGGGCCCTCACCCTCTGTTTTGTGGCGCCTGCCCTGGTGCCGCCTTCTTGGCAACAGACAGACCAGGGGCAGGTGGGAATTGAGGGCGTAAGCCCTAAACCCTAAAAGGCAATATTTTGGGTGGTAGCTTGTGTACTCTCACAGTGGGTGGGAAAAGGTCAGGAACCAATGTGTAATTGTTTGGTGGTGGAATCGCATTCGCTGGACGTAGATATGCCGCCCCCCCCACACCCCTGGGAGTGTTGGGGCGCCATCCTAGATAGAAAATACTGCCGCTGCGCGGCGAGACACCCTAAACCCTAAACCTTAAGCCCCATCCCCTAGACCCTACACCCTAAACCCTAAACCCACCCCCTTCAACACAAAAGCCAGCAGGTTCTCCAACGACATGGAGCTCGCGGCGAGGACAAGCATCGAGGACCTGAAGCCGAGCAGGCGATAAAACCATGGGGGTTTTAGGGTCCTAGGGTTCCTTTAAAGGGATCTATAGTGCTTCTTTAAAGGGGGTTTAGGGTTTAGGGGTTTAGGGTTTAGGGGGTTAGGGTTTAGGGTTTGGGGGTTTAGGGTTTAGGGGGTTAGGGTTTAGGGTTTAGGGGTTTGAGGGTTTAGGGGTTTGGGGTTTAGGGTTTAGGGTTTTAGGGTTTAGGGGTTTGGGGTTTTAGGGTTTAGGGTTTTAGGGGTTTAGGGTTTAGGGTCGATTCTCATTACTTCAGGCTCCATGGGCTCAGAAGGGATCTATAAGGGGTCCTTTTCAGGGATCTATGGGGTTTAGGGCTCTGAGGACACAAAGACCATATTATAGAAGTTGTTTGGGGCTATGTTGAGCCTTAGGGTTAGGATTTATTGGTTAGGAACTAGGGTTTCGGGTTCAGGGTTTTGGTTTGTTGTTGTTCATATTTATGTTGTTGTCGTTGTTCTTAGTGTTATTTTGTTATTTACGTGTGTTGCGTTCTTTTGACTGAGCATAAATAAACCATAGCCGGTAAGTACACCCCACGTCTTGCAGCCACTGCAAAAGTCCTGCTAGACGGCTGCACTTTTTGAAAACCTCTTCCCTCACTCGTCTGGGCACATCGCTTCGTTTAGGTGATGCTTTGGGTTCCCTGAGACCCCAATCCTAAACCCCAAGCCCGAAGCCCAGAAACTGAAAACTCGGGTCAGCAACTTTGGCTTTGCAGATACAGAGCCTTCGTTCAAGCAGGGAAGAGCCAGACCCCTTCAATTGCCACCATAACCGGGAGGGGGTGGGGGGTGGGGGTGTCCCTAAACCCTAAACCCTAAACCCTAAACCCTAAACCGTCTACAACCTACCGAATAGCCCTGCAAGGTTCCCTTAAGAGGGCTCTTGATGTAGATCCCGCATTACCCATAAAAAGGAATATACCATAGCTCCTACCTGTGGCCCCAAACCCTGTAAAATAGTAGGTTATGACCCCCAGATTAGAGGGTCGAACCCTTAAAACGGTAGGTTTTCGGATCCCAAGGTATAGTCTAGGGTCATGAATTATCAAAGCAAAATGCAGGATTTGTATCATCAACCGTAGTTGGGGAGGGGTGAGCCTCGGGAAAAGCGCGATTGCGTATAGCCTAAACCCCTTACCCTGACCGCCGGAAGGATCTACAAACAAGATCCTTTAATGTGGGACATTGTGCAACTAACTAGAAGGTACTATGCAGGAAGCCCGTTCAAGATCTGCTATGTGGATCCTTCCGGCGGTCTGGCTAGGACAGAAAGTATAAATCTCCAAATCCCACATCTTCCAAGTCCAATCTCCCGTACCCAATCAAGGATTATACCTTAAGTTATAGTAGGAACCTGATTATGATTTAAGGTAGATTCCTTGATCTAGGGATTTTGGAAGCTCGGGGTTGTTCGACATCTCCTGCAGCTCCTAACAAGGGCCCTCCTAAGGGCCCTTGTAAAATCCTGTGCGAACTCTAAAACACCAGAAAATCTCATCAAGCCCCCTCTACAGGAACCCCAAAACCCGATAAAGCAAGCCCAATAAAACTGGCTCTGCTCCTGAGTAAAAACCCTATAAACCCTGTAAATAAGGTAGCAACCCTAAACCCTATAAGCAGTATAAATAAGGTAGAAAAATTGAAAACTCTGTAACACCCCTCAACAGTCCTGCCCCCAAGAACCTGGAGCAAGGCCCGGCGAGATACCGGCGGACCTTCATCCTTCGGAGACGTTCTTTGAGGTTGGAAAGAGAAGAGTGTGTTAGGGTTTAGGGTTTACCCGAATGCTCCTGGACCCCCGTAGTGAGATCCAAACACTAGCCCCCAAAGCCCAAACCCTCCCCCAGAGATCCCATGACCCTCTTCGGAGCCTTAGGTTAGGAACCCTAAACCCTAAACCCTAAACCGAAAGAGAAGAGTGTGTCCCTTTGTGTGCGGTGTAGGGTTCAGGGTTTAGGGCTTATTTGTGCTATATACACACGTACATACATGCATGCATAGATACATACATGCATGTATACGTGCAAGCATTTCTGCCAACACCATACACATAAGATATGTAGGTGTATGTGTATATGTATGTATAATTAGGTGTATTACAGCCTATCTACCTACCCATCCGTCCATCCATCCCTCCGTCGGTCTGTCTGTCTGCCCGCCTGGTTGCCTGCCTGCCTGTCTCTCTGTCTGTCTTTCTGCCTGTCTCTTTGTCTGTCTTTCTGTCTGTCTGTCTGTCTGTCTGTCTGCATAAGTATGTGTGTATGTCTGTATGTATTTCGGTATGTAGGTACATGTGTATATGTTTATGTATGTGTGTGTATGTGTGTACATAGATGGCTGGATGGGTCGACAGATAGATAGATACATAGATAAGATAAACATACACGACAGCCAGGCAGACAAACAGATAGACAGGTTGAAAGAAAGAACGAAAGATAGCTATGACTACAGGTAGGTGGTACATCGGCTGGCCCATGGATCTAGATCGAGAGATCGACCGACAGATAGATAGACATTTTGTCAGATAGACAGAATCGTTCATGGCTTCGGGGGAGTTCTTTTGGACTTCCTTAGGGACGAAATGAAGCTTAAAAGGTTTTCAGGTTCACATACCATATAGGGATTTATAGTATAAGGGTAGAGAGCCCATACGTTTAAGGGTTATTTGGTCCTTAAGGTTTAGGTAACATCCATGTTTTTGTTTGTCGTGTTGGTGGCCGGTGTCTCCTGTGCTCAGAGCACTGAGCGTCTTATTGTTTTGATTTTTTGGGTTTGGGGTTTAGGATTCAGGAGTTTGGGGTTCAGGGTTTACATGTATGGTTGAGGCATTCGGTTCAGGTTTTGGGGTGCAGGATTGCGCGTTTAGGTTTAGGGTTCATGGTTTTAGGCACTTTGGGTCCAGTATTTCGGTTTCTATTTGCAGCTTGGAAGAATTCTGTTCAACTTTAAATGGCAAACTAGGCTTGATACCTGCAGATCCAAACGCCTATGGCCTATGTTTTACTATAAATGGTAAGGAGCTCATAGTAGCACCTACTCAACTCCACCCCATTAACCAAAAGCCCAAACGCCTTAATCCCTAAACCCTAAACCCCTAAACCCTGATTCGGCTGATGGTTCAGGCTATAGACCCTGATCCATACCCGCAGCAAGCCCCTTTTCCTAAAACCCTTACTAGGTAGGGCTTTGGGACATTTTACATTTGCTCTTATTGGGCTTCAGAGGATCTTACCTACTAATATTTTCAAAGGCTTTAAGCAGAGCACCTCCTAGCTTATGCAGCCTCTACAGTAAACCCCATAAAGTTGGAAACCGGGTTAAGGCCAAATAGTGCTGGGATTCCCTATACATTACTCTTAAGGATAGAGGCTATTGGGTTTCCATTTTTTAGGCTTCTACTCTAAAAGGAACCCCTGAAAGGAATCCTTATAGGAGCCTTCGACAGATACTTTCATGAGCCCTTGACCCAGACCCCCGGGAGGATCTAGAAAGTAGATCCCCTAATTCGGGGCCCTATACTACTAAGGGTACTTTATAGGAATCCCCATTAAGGGATCTACTTTTTGGATCCTCCCGGGGTCTGGGAAAGGATCCTCAGAGGCCTCAGAAGTCCTTACCTAAGCGCAGCCTTCCATATTCCCGCCTCTAAACCCTCAAGCCCTAAACCACCTATACCCTAAACCCCCTAGAAAGGATCACGCAAGTGCAAGCAGGAGTTCAATAACAACATAGAAAACATCCCAGATCTTCCTTCAATTAAGGACTAGACCCCACAGCCTAAACTCTAAGCCCTAAGCCTAAACCCTGAACCCTAAACTCTAACCCCTAAACCCTAAACCCTAAGCCTAAAGGAATCAAGGAATTTTTGAAGATCTGTGTCTGCGAAGCTTCAGGCCCGGTGTGCGCCGTTGCACGACTTGCTCCAGGAAGGCGGGTCTTAGGTAATCTCGGGGTTTAATGGGGTTTAGGTTAGGTACCGCCCCCATTCTGTAAGAGTCTATAATAGGGCTACTATTAAGGTCCTACTATATCTATATTATGAATATTACTCAACTGCTATTGAGTGGGGGCCGTACCCAAGGTTTAGGGCTTTGGGGGTTTCAGGGTTTAGGGCGTGGTTTAGGAGAAAGCAAGCAAACAGTCCCTCATAGTCGCCGCGAGGGTCCGTATATACTACGACTATGGGCTCAGGCCCCGCTAAGCCATGAATAGAATATCCCTCCATACCTTGCTCTAGTGATCAAGTCCCCGATGTAACTTCGAAGCCTTGTTCTAATTATGAAGGCCCCGATGTTTCCTTTAGCAACCTAAAAAAGCTTTACAAAACCGCCTGAAACGCTGTTTCGGACATTTTATTAATGTCAGGTTATGGCCCCCTTTATCAAGCGTTGAGAAAGCCCTTTGAACCCTTGTCAGCCCTGTAAAACCCTGTGATAACAGTTAAGGCTTCTGTAAAACACTACCCAGAGGGTCCAAGTACCCAAATAGTAGGGTTTTAGATCCCAAAATCCATACTCTGAATGGTTTTGGACCTTAAAACCCTACTATTTGGGTACTTGGACCCTTAGGGTAAAGCAACATCCAAAATCCTTGTAAATCACTACCAAAACCCTGCTCTAATGATACCAAGGCCCCAACCAAATCCCCCACAACCCTTGTGAAGCCCTGCAAATCCCCTTCTGGTCCATACAACCCCAACGTAGGCACTTTTTGGGTTCAGAGTTTCGGGCTTGGACTTGACTGCAGTGCAGTCACTACACTACACCCTCGGGTTTAGGGTTTAGGGTTTGGTACTCTTTTTTAAAGTCATATCAGTTTTAAGGTACGGTGGCTACTCTAGGTACATCCTAAACCATAACTTCTTACAGCAACACCCGAGACCGGAAACTCTTAACTCTAAAGCCCTGATTTAGAACCCGACAAACAACCAACCCCCTGCCCTTATCCAGACGGTCGGTTTGGGCTTCAAGAACTAGGACCCAGAGTAGGCCCTTATCCCCTTTTCTAGGGCTCAGGTTCCCGTATTACTTATTAACCCCTTTAAACCAACAATGGCACTGTTTTTATTCCTAGGTTACTCTTAGGTAGAGAAGGTTTGGGGTTTAGACCTTGTTCGAGTCACTGTGTTTCAATACATCAGGTAAAACCTTGAACCAAATCCAAACCTGAACCATAATCCACCAGAACTCCTAAACCCTCAAGCCCAAAACACTTAACCCAGCAACCTGACAGGTAGGATTTTAGGATTCGGCGGTCGGCTCGTGTAGCCCAGGGTAATTTTCCTTCCGGGTTTAGGGCTTAGGGCCTCTAGTCAGGGCTTTGTATGGGAGTTTCCGACAATAGGGGGTCCCTAATATAGCACCCCAAATAGTAGGATCTCTTTATCCCCAAGCCCTACAAAATAGTAGGTTATGACCCCTTATTTAGAGGGTCTAACTCCTAAAACGATAGGTTTTTGGATCCCCAGGCAAACCCTAAACCAGGCAAACCCGAAAAGTCTGAAAGCGAGCAGGTTTGGTATACGTCTTGCAACCCGAGGACTCCTAGCGGCAGTGTTTCTGTTTGCGGCTCGGTTTAGGGTTTTGGGTTTAGGGTTTGGGGTTTAGGGGTGTTGGGTTTAAGGTATTAGGGTTTGGGATTCAGGGTTTAAGGTTTAGGGTTTGGGGTTGAGGGTTTAGGGTTGAGGGTGCTAAAGGATTATACCGGGTTACAAGGGTGTTTAAGGCCGTGGGGCTGCAATGTTTAATGGTCAAGGTGCTTTGGTAGGCCAGGTTTCTTATGATCCTAGGTCCTAGACAGGTTCTATAGGGTTTAGGTCACCGTAATTAAACTCCAGAAGCGGAGAAAGGGATTCTCTCGACTTCGTAGGTATGACGATAGTCATCTTCCAACTTCTGGCATCTAGTTTTGGGCGGGAATGTTTGGCCTTGGGTCGGGTTTTAGGCCCTGCGCGATGGAACCGTTTGAGCGTCCTAAGGATCCGAGTAGTCCTTGTGTGTGTGCTTTTCCCAGAGAGAAGTATGCAAACAGTACCTACTTTGGGGGCTGAAGTCTTTTGAATGGTCCTGCTGTCGGTGAGCCCTAAACCCTAAAACCTTAAAGGCTGCCTTTAAGGGAGTTTAGTGGCAAGGGTTCCTGCGGAAGCCTCGAGCGACGAAAGGAGTACCATAAACCGCGGGCGCTTAAAGGTGAGCCCAAACCGTAAATCAGGACCGAGCCCTTAAAGGGAACTCTATGATAGAACCCTATACTACCCTGAAAAGGAACACTCCTAAACCCCCAAACCCCTTGAGGAGGTCCATGCGGCGGCTTCTGGCGAGTGGATGCCAAGGTCGATTCCCTGAGGGCTGTTGAAGGGTTCAGGGTTTCTGCCAGGCTTCTATTCCGAGGGTTTTGGGGTTCGTATTTTCAGGGTTTGGGGTTTGTGGGGTTTAGGGTATGGTTTTTTGGCTTTCCAGGGTCTAAGGGTTGCTAGAATCACAGGATGTATCATAGTTGGGTGTTGCACAAAGCTTGCTTGAAGGTTTCAAGTTTGACGGCTTGGCTGGTATGAACTAAGACTGATGTTTGGCTTTTGGTGATGGTACGTGACGCAGCGCTCCTTGTAAGGATCGGTTCTTTGTTCGTATGGTGGCTTTTAGGGGCTTTTCTACACCGGACGCAGTTATCAGAGACAGGTTTCGTGAAGGGTCCGCAACAAGGTTTGTGGCGAGGAGGCTCGTTAAGGTCTTAGAGAGTTGCATCATGTCTCATAGAGGTTTAGTGTGAGGTTTGTTGTCTTACCGGGGATTTAGTTCCAAATGAGTTGGCCAGTCAAGCACATATGTGAGTGTATGTGCAAGTGCATCTTTGTATGTGTATATATATATATATATACATATGTAGAGCGAGAAAGAGAGGGAGCGAGAGAGAGAGGGAGAGAGAGAGAATGCGAAGTGCACTAAATAATTTAAAGCATGTGTGTGCAATCCGTACGCGTGGAGGTGGCGGTGGTGGTAGTGGTAGTGGTAGTGGTAGTGGTAGTGGTAGTGGTAGTGGTAGTGGTAGTGGTAGTGGTAGTGGTAGTGGTAGTGGTAGTGGTAGTGGTAGTGGTAGTGGTAGTGGTAGTGGTAGTGGTAGTAGTAGTCGTAGTAGGAGCAGCAACAGCAGCAGCTGCGGCAGCAGCAGCAGTAGTTAGTCCTAGCAGCTAGTAGTAGTAGTAGTAGTAGTAGTAGTAGTAGTAGTAGTAGTAGTAGTAGTAGTCGTAGTAGTAGTAGTAGTAGTAGTAGTAGTAGTAGTAGTAGTAGTAGTAGTAGTAGTAGTAGTAGTAGTAGTAGTAGTAGTAGTAGTAGTAGTAGTAGTAGTAGTAGTAGTAGTAGTAGTAGTAGTAGTAGTAGTAGTAGTAGTAGTAGTAGTAGTAGTAGTAGTAGTAGTAGTGGTAGTAGTGGTAGTAGTGGTAGTAGTGGTGGTAGGAGCAGAGGTGTTCAGGAGGTGCATCCAACGTATGGTTCCAGCGGGCCTCCCTTAAACCCTTAGACCCTCGGCCCTAAACCCTGAACCCTAACCCAGGGGGGTTGCAGGGTTCTCCGGTTTTTATTGTCGGGGTATTAGTTTCCTAGTTACAGTCTCTCTTATAGCCCCCACTGGTGGATCCGACAACCTATTGCCCTATTGCTTTGAGGTTTTGAGGATCATAGCCAATGATCGGTATGGTTTGGAGACGTTTGTTTCGGTGTGGTTTTAATTACAAGACTGCAAGACTCGAATTTTGATTGACTCTCCAAACCCGGAAAACTTGTATGATCACTGAACCACAAATTTATTCCTGAGTCCTACACCCATCATAGTAACACCCAAGGAACGCTTAATAGAACCCTTACCTTACAAGGACAACTACTTCTAAGGCCCCCATATTGCCCTGCCCCTAAATTGAACCGCAAAACCCCCCAAGCTCTAGACTAAACCTAAACTAAACCCTAAGCCAAACCTTAAATCCTAAACCCTATAAGCTAGACAAAACCCTCAACCGTAAACTGAACCCTATGAATCCTTACGTCCCTAACCCTAAACGCGAATGGAGGATCGACCTTCTCTCTGTGGATGCAGAGGGTGCAGAGCTCGAGATTTTCAAAGACTTCCCCTTTGAGGTTGGGGCACTTGTGAAGGGCTTCTTGTACGTGCTACTTAAAGCTTACAGGAAGTGAAGGGTAATTAGGGCTTTAGGCTTTAGGGTTCAGAGGTTTAGGCTTTGGGGATTTATGGGTCTAAGGTTCCTTTTCAAGGTTTCCTCGAACGTTTGCTGACTTTTGAGTGCTTGCTTTAGGGTCCTTGGGCTCGAGGGTGTTAGGGTTTTTGGGAGTTTGCAAGGCCTGAGTGTTGTAAATTTCTTGTATAAGGGGTTGTTCGGATTCGAGATTTGAGGCTTAGAGCTTAACGACTTGTGGGTTTGGGGGCGTTCGGGCTCTAGGCTGTTTGGAGGACGAGGCCAGGTACTGAAACCACTTTGTTAGGGCCCTAAACCTTAAACCCTGAGCCAGGTGCTGAAACCACTTCCTAGTAGTAGAGCAGGTAACCTTTAACCTTTTTTGGGTTGTATAGTCCCTGGACGGTTAGCCTGAAGTTCCCCATGATACCCGACAAGTAGGACTTTGTTAGGGCTTCAGGGATCTTCGGGGTCAAGGACGTTCATGGGTGTGGGATGGGCAAGCCTAGACCCTCAACCATGAGTCCTACACTTTCAGCCGAATGGAGGGGCCTTCATAATTAGAGTAGTTTTTTTTTTTTGGGGGGGGGGTCCCTTAAACATAATTAACTTAGAAATAATGGGCCCCAAAACCCTGTTCTAACTATTAAATTCACTTTGTCAGGGCTTAGATTCGGCTCAAATGCCCTGACCGGGAGGCTTGGGACATCCGCTGCATCGTCATCGAGACGAGCCGTCGTACGTCTATGGCCATCGACAGCCTGCTGTTGCCCTTGGTTCCCAGTTGCATTTGGGGTTTAGCGGTTTAGCATTTAGGGCATGCGGATCTCACATTGCTCCTGGGTAGATGCTTGGCTGTTATTATGATAGAAGGAGACCGAGGGTAGTTGCATCTAGTCAACCCTAAACAAACCCTACACCTCAGCCTTGAAGTGCTAACCAGAAAGCCAAGACTGAGTCATAGCAGCTTACTTGTAGGCTCATTCCCTACCCCCTTTTTGGGGGTATCTACTTTTCTACATACCACCTGGGAGTCGCATCCCAGGGCTTCGTGAAGGTCGCCATCCTGGGCAAGGCAAGAACGACCAAGAGAACTTCATGCTTATGTTTCCCTAAAGGTCCATGTGCCCAAATTGCCCAAATAGTGTTTACATTGGCCCCAAAGTACCTTAATAGGGACTACATGGGACCACTTTAAGGCCAATGTATATACCATTTGGGTACATGGACCCTTAGGGTTTCTTTGGGATTAAGATTTCATTTCGACTGTAATAGGAAGCCTAAGAATTAATCACACTGTGCCTGAAAGTGCACAAGAGCTCTAGCGTCTGGGGTTGCGGCATTGCTCTCTTCCATTTTGGGGACCATGGCTGGCGAAAGTTTCTCAGGAATTTGTGCGCTGGTCTGCATTCTGCGCAATATTCGCCTTGACATGTGCAGCGCAAACCTGCTATTCTAGACCCTTGATTCCTTCACAGGGATCCAATGCGCAAAGCTTCGAACTCGGACGACCCTTCAGTGAGGTCTAAAGCGTCAATCGAAAGCACGCTCTACTCATACAGTCATGATAACAGGGGCTATGCTGGGGCTCACAGGCCCTGCAAGTCCCAGACCCGAAACCCTTAATCGCACACCTTCCACTAAGAGTCCCTCCGTTCGTATCTTTTACTCCATTGCTGTTAGGGCTTAGGGTGTCTATGTCTTCCTCCCTACCAGCACCTCCCAACTCCCTGCATTATAAATTATACTCTAAATACATAGCCACTATTCAGGGCCACAAGGGCTCCATTAAAGGGTACTTGGGGGGGGGGGGTGCTGGTAAACACCAAACCGCAGTGCACCTACATGACAACCTCGTTGAGGCGAAGGGCTATGGAAGGGATCTATAGGGGTTCCTTTATAGGGGTTCCTTTAAGGGATCTATACGGTTTAGGGGTTTAGGGTTTGGGGTTTAGGGTTCCTTTAGCCTTAGTGGCTGTAAACTCAACTTTTTGTTTTTACTTTCGGGGTTCTTAGAAGGTAGTCGATTCTGAAATTTTCAACTTTGATTCCCTTGGGTTTGGGGCAGTGAGGTTAAGGGTTTAGGGTTTGCATTACCTTAAGGACCTTGTGGTTTCCTTATTGACCGTAAGGACCCTAAACTATGGGAATTGTGGTATCCTTATTGTGGGTAGTGCAGGGTTTGTATCATCAACCGTATGCAGAAAGCCGCCAGGACGCCGTGTACCTGAGCCAGTCGCAGATGGCCCATTTTCCCTCAGGCGCTTTCCGAATCCTACACTCTAAAACCCTACTTCGAAACTAACCTTAAAGTTGTATCAGAGTTCAAAGCAAGAGGTAGACAGGGTTTCGAGTCCAAGTGGCTTCAGGTTTCAGGGTTGCACGGTTTTTGATTCCAAGAAGTTCATAAAAGGGTCAGAAAACTTAGAGGTAGACAGTATGCCTTGTATTCCCTATCTAAGTTAGTAGACCCCAGAGGCATATTCCAGGTTTGCCGGCCCAAATGATAAGTTAATGTTTTGTGGTTTGAAGCTTTCAGGGTGTCAAATCCAAAGTGTGGACACTATGTACTGCACCTTTTGGGGACTCAGCTCTATAAAGCCTAAGCCGGTAAAAAACAGTGTTGTAAACCGAAAGCAGATCCTACCAAACCTTCCAAAGGCAGTCACTAAACCCAAAGACCCCAGAACCCTAGACCCTAGAGGAACCCTAAACCCTAACGGTTTAGGGTTTAGGGTTTAGGGTTTAGGGACCCTATAAACCCTAAACCCTTAAGGAACCCGTTCAAAGGCAGTCGCCTCCGACTCCCCGAGCGGATCTTGTGGAATGCGCCTGGCTCCGACTCGGACACGATTGAGCCTGGAGCCCTACTTCTACCGGGGTTGAGGTTTCAGGTTTTTAGGGTTGAGGGTGGTTTAGGGTTTGATTAGGGGTTTAGGGTTTGATTAGGGGTTTAGGGTTTAGGGGTTTAGGGTACAGTGTTGCAGCCATGCCATTCAACTGGGTTCTTGTTAAGGACTTGAATTCCCTAAGGCTCCATGTACCCATATAGTACATACTTAGGCCTTAAAGTACCTATATAGTGACCCCTTTAAGGCTTAAGTATTTACTTTGAAGGTACATGGAGCCTTTGGATTACAGGTACCATAATAGGGATCTATATCAAATAATATACATATTTCCTTATTGTGGTAACATCCCTTGACAAGAGCCCAGTCAAGAATTTGCGGCACGTGGTCGCAGAGGAGCAGGCAGCAGGTTCAACAACAGGGTTTGAGACGATTCTGCTTCCCAGAGACTCAAATATCCCTTAAATTAAGGAATATACCTTAGGTTATAGTGGGGTCTCTAATATGATCTCAGGAATATGCTTTAATTAAGGGCTATTGGAGTCTCTGGGCTTTAGGCGTGATTGGCGCCGAGCTACTGGGAGTGTCATTGGCAACGAGACATTGGACGTCTCGTGAACCGACACCTCGTGGCAGTTGAGAAACTCGTGCGAATGTGCTGTACTATAGATGCCCTTAGGAGTTGCCCATATTGTTCCAAAGGGTTCCGTTCGATGGTTGTAGCTTATCATCCCTTATTCTCATATCCCCAAACCACGTTCGAATTATGAAGACAACTATATGAACCGCAGGCTTGAGCCCCTGCCTGCAAACCCTTAGGTTTTTTTTGGCGGGGGGGTTGAGGGCTTTAGTATTTTGTTCAGGGTTTAGGGCTTTAAGGTTTTGGGTTGCTGAGGATGAAAACCAGGATCCTGCTAAGCGATTTCAGGAGTGGTCCAGGGGTCTACGATGACAATCACAGACCCTAAGCCTAAGCCATGTATCGGACCAGAACCCCCAACTACCCTCCTTTATACCTTGAGTACCCACTGCTAGTGACCATGAGGGATCCATTAACGGTTTCTTGGGGGGTGGTGGTATACCGGAAGCTCCTAAACTTTTGTTAAGCCGTAAACCCTAAAGCCCTAAACCCCAAATCCTGCACATGCAGCCCTAAAGCCCAAAACCCTGAACCCTAAAACCTTTAATCTGTTGTTTCTGCATCCGTTTGCGAGGTAGTATTAGGAAGACCCTTAAAGGTGAAGCTTCTTAACCCTACTTCGGGCTGCCTTAGAAGGGACTTCACTGAGAGGGTCTACATCGCCAAGGGTCCCCCTAATCCCAACTCCTGCTTGAAGAGCCTTAGGGGAAGCCTAGGCCGTATAAACCCTAAAACCCCCTACACCCCCAAACCCCCTAAACCCCTTAAACCCTGAACTCTATACCCTAAGGCATACATCGGAAGCTCCGAAGCTTTGTGTTGTGCATCCCTTTGCTTACCTTTGGTTAGTAGGGAATGGAAGCATGGTAGTAATCGTAGTTATAAGTGTATCCCATGCCTCAATTCCCTACTAACCAAAGGTAAGTTTGCGAGGTTTGCCTGAACCCTAAACCCTGAAACCTAAACCCTAAACCCTAAACCACTAAACCCCTAAACCCTAAACCCTGAACCCCTAAACCCTTAAAACCGTAAACCCTAAAACCCTAAACCCTAAGGTACCGGCGCTTCCAGCGGATGTTCGGCCTTGATGGAGACCTCGATGTGGACCTTCTGGGTTGGGTTACTTGGAGGTTCATTGGACTTAGTAAGTACAGTTATAAGTACCTTAACTGGAGTTATAAGTAATTATATGTGTAGTTACCGTAATTATAACCCTAGTTACTAAGTCCCATGAACCCCTAAGTAGGAGGCTTACAGCCCTTTAGGGTTTGAGTCTAGGTCTAAGGGTCCTTCAAAGGAATCCATAAGGGATCTTTCGGGCTTCCTTTAAGGGGTTTAAGGTTGAGGAACATGTACCCAAGTAGTATATGCTTTGGCCCAAGTATACTAAAAACGTAATCCGAGAAAGGGACTACTTTAAGGCCAAAGTATACTATTTGGGCAAATGGACCCTTAGCCAACAGGTTATATGCTTCAGAGCCTAAACTTCCGCAAGAGTGTGGTGTCGTTGGTACGGAGGCGAGCATATCAGCAAATTTGCTACAGGGGTCGAGTGTGTACCAACACTCCTGGTTCGGGTCCCTGTTGTAACTATAGGGAAAGTCAGCATCCGAGTCAAGGGCCGTTATTCCGAAGCGCTGGCTTCCTAAACCCTAAGCTCTAACAACCTCAACCCCCAAATCCTACGTCCTAAACCTCAAAACCATAAACCCCTAAACCCTAAACCCCTAAACCCTAAATCCTCAACACTAAACCCTAGACCCTAAACTCCGAAACCCTAAACCCCTACACCCGAAGGGTCTGAGTCTTTGATGTTGAAGGATTAGGGTTCAGGACGTAGGGCGTCAGAGTTTAGGGGGCATTATAGGGTTGGGGTTTGGAGGGTTTAGGACGCAGGGGTTTAGATCTTCGGGGATTTATAGGGTTTAGGGGGTTTAGGATGTAAGTGTTTGGTTGGAATTTGAGGGGCTCCGGGTGCTACAATTAGCAAGCAACAACAGCAAAGGTTTCAAGCTACAGCGCTAGCCTTAGACGATCCTTCTCGTTTCCTGAAGGATTTGGGGGCATCCTAAACCCTACCTGTATCTCCAAACCCTACAAAATAGTAGGTTATGACCCCTTAATTAGAGGGTCTAACCCCTAAACAGGTAGATTTTTGGATCCCCAGGTAAACCCTAAACCGTCATTCATGTTATCACGCATGTGGAACACTTGGATAGACTTCATCTTTCTGGTTTTGGCGCTAGGCCGAGACTTTCTTCCTCCCTCGTGTGGACTTCGAGGCACCACGGTTTAGGGTTTAGGGACAAGATCCACTTGGTGTAAGACTTTTGAAGCAAGCGGCCTCAATGGCTTCAGGCCTGCTGAGCTGTGCAGTGCCATGTTCTTCAGCTTGTGTTGCGTGGTGAAGTCGTGTGCTCAGGCAGTTCCTTTGATGGCTGGAAGGCCTCACACGCGATGATGCCATCTTCTACGGCATCCCTGTGGACAAGGTGGAGGAGGATGAGTGGCGGATCCTGCTTGAGCTGGACCCTAAACCCTAAACCCTAAACATCACTGAAGCCGCAAGGAGAGCTGCGATGGCGAGCAGCCAGCCTGGCGACAATGGCAAGGCTGAGTCTGCCGAGCTGTTCACGATCCACAGCTACTGTTTGCTTAAGAACCCATCCAAAACATAATAATAATATATACATATATATATATATATATATATTCCGTATGGGGGTAATATAGGGATTATTATTTTTATTTTTTGGGTGGGTTTCTGAAGCAAATGGTAGACAGCTTCCCGCCGACGAAGGCCGGCCGAGAGTGCATGATCCGATATATGGAGAAATGCCGGATCATGTTCGAGCGACTGGTGGATGCGCCGATTCCCAGAACACTTGGTGCCCGGCGAGACCAGAAGATTCGAAGAGCACACGGCCTGTGGTCAGGCTACTCAGAGCATGTCGGACACCTTGCCGAATGCGCAGCTGCCTGAGGAAGCTTGGAACCATAATCATCATCATCATCATCACCTTCACAGTCGGAAGCTTCATTCGATCCATCGCCATATAGCTTTGTTTTACCCACTGGGTGGTTGCACCCAACATTACGGGATTAGGTCGCGCAAAATGGATTCTTCTTACGTTCCTGTATAACACTATAAATATAACAATATCATTATAATTATAAAGATAAATATAAATATAAATATATATATACACACATATAAAGGTAATGCAGACACTGCAAAACAAAGCAAAACCGTTTCAAGCCCTGAGCAGCAACCTTAAAGTAGGGGTACGAGGGTCCTCAGGGTCGTTTAACCCCAAACCCTGCACGCTTAACCCTACAATCTAATCTCTAAACCCTCATGGTCACTAACTGTTCTAAACCCTAACCTCAGCTACGCGAGAATGCGCAGGATGTCGGTGACCAGCGGCTTCTCAATGTGTCTTGTCTCCAGCGAGCTGAGTAGGTGTGGGGTTGGCTGATTCTTGAACAAACGAGGGGCCTGAAGATTTTCAATACCAAAATTGTGCGATATTTGGCATAGACAGTGTAGTTCTTTAGGGATAAGGATCTGGTGTCTGTTCTGTGTCGGATGAGTCAAGCTATGCCGGTGAGACATCCCCAAAGCCCATGCAGATATGATTGCAATTGATTCTGAGCCCAGCATGATTCTGATCTGCTATAAAGTAGTATGTTCCTGAATAAACTTTGAAGCTTGAATGCGAAGAACATTATCTCGAAGCTCGTTTAGGAACAGCCCCATTCAAGCATGAAGATTGTATTCCGACGTTTTTTGAAGGATCCGAGACCAAACTTGAAGCAACCGCACCAGTCGACAAGCAAGACATTTCACACTGAACACTAGGAAGCAATATGGAACTGTGTAAGTCAATATGTTGGAGGCGTTTTTTTTGTTGGCCTTGGTCAGGATTTGACAGTATTTGGGCGTGTGTGTCTCGGCATTTGCTGTTTGCATGTTTCTGATCATTGTCAGACTTACACTGAGTCAAGGAAAATACTACGGTACTATTGTACTACTGTTCTCCTGTACGCTAGTAGTGCTACTGCAGTACTTATGTACTACTTTCGGGGGACGTGGGAGCGTAGTAATAAACACGGATCGCACTATGCATGACGGGTCGGAACATATTTGAGCTGGGAGGGCACAAAACACGGTGCCACATCAAAGAGCCACAGCTCCAGCTGAAATTATGGGAGCTAAGGAGCCATGGATGATGATAATCCCTATTAAGTAAGGAGCTAAAGAGCCCAAGGGAGCCCCCAAAACCACTGGTTAGACAGGTATTGCCTCCCTTTAGCAACCTGGGGCCCTGCACCTCAACCAAAGCCCTTTGAACCCTTGTCAGCCTTGTAATAAAACGCTGTTCTAGCAGTTAAGGCTTCTGTAAAACACTAACCCAGAGGGTCCAAGTACCCACATAGTACGGTTTTAGGTCCCAAAATCCATACTCTGAATGGTTTTTGGAAATTGAAACCCTACTATTTGGGTGCTTGGACCCTTAGGGCAATTTACTAAAACCGGAAGCCAGTACAGGAGACGGAACTGCTGCGGCAGGCCGGGTACGGTTCAGGTTTAAGGTTGAGGGGCACTGCCCTCTGCTCCTTCGGAGCACTTCGGATGTGCATGTTTATGATCGGTAGGGAGGCTGCCCAGTGGCTATTGGGACACCGGATCGTTTTGCTTGGCAGCCTCTTAATCATGACTTGGACATCAGGATCCTCAGGATACTTAAAGACCAAGTCTGGGAGAAAGTCCATATTCCTAAGGTCTGCGTACCGAATTCGTCACGGTTTAGCTTTGTTTTTCAAGGGGTTCCTGTATCCAGGCACATGCCCTAAACCCTAAACCCTATAGTCTACATGCTTAATCCGACGCCCAAGGTCGTCAACCATTACACTAAGCCCTTAACCCTGAACCCGCCACAAATTCCCGTAGCACACTAAACCCCTAACCCCTCAACCCTCATAGATCCCTTATAGATCCTTCATACGGTGGATGATATAAATCCTGCATTACTTTAAGGACCCTAAACTATGGGAATTATGGTATATTCCTTATTATGGGTACTGCAGGATTTATACCATCAACCGTAGAACCTTACGGTTTAGGGTTTAGAGTTTAGGGTTTAGGGTACATTATTTTGGGGTCCTTAGAAGAAGGATCTGGAACCCTAAAGCTTCTAAGTCCTATCAGACTGCAGGCATGAATGGTCTATAGTAGAAGCCAGAAAGTTGGAACATGGCTTTAGGAGGATTAGTGCTAGGATCCCTTATACTTTACCTTAAGGGCATGAGGAGTCTGATGTTCCAACTTTCTGGCTTCTACTATAGGAGTCTTGAGGGTGGTTTAGGGTTTAGGGTTTAGGGTTTAGGATTCCCTTCATTAGGGAATGTTAGGGATCCTACCATAGTTTAAGAAATATTTCTCAATTAAGTGACATTGGGTTTTTGTGCCTGCGATTGAGGGTTGAGGGTTTGGGCTTAGGGGTCTGCGGTATAGACTAATAGAAGTCTTTTGCTGCCTTTGGTTGAGAGTTTAGTTTAGTGTTCAGGGTTGAGAGTTTTGGTGCATCTTGTGTTCTAGATTCTGGATGTTCTACCGTTGATGATAGAAATCCTGCATTACCCATAAGAAGGAATATACCATAATTCCCATAGCTTAGGGTCCTTGAGGTGCTTTTCAGGATTTATATCATCAACCGTAACGAAGCCCTACACCCTGTACGAGCGGGTCCACCAGGAAGTCCAGAAGGTGCAGAGACTCCACTATCCCTTTATTAAGGCATATTCCTTAAATCATATGACGGAACCTACTATAGTTTAAGGTATATTCCTTAATCATATTACGGATCCTACTATAGTTTAAGGCATATTCCTTAAGTCATATGACGCAACCTACTATAATTTAAGGTATATTCCTTAATTTACGGGATATTGGTGTCTCTGGGTATGTCATCGACGATACACCAGGACCCCAGCTGGTACACCAGGGACCTAGACCGGAGCTGATCGCTTGCTCTAAGGGATTTACCTTAAATCCCCCATACCTAACCTTTAATCTTTTTGCGTCCTTATAGTTCAGTAGGAGTCGGAAAGTTGATCACGTAGCAGGCAGAGCGCCAAGAGGCCAAAAATCAGCAGACCTACGCCGAGGCTTGTGGGTTCCGTCGGGTTTTCATAAGGCTCATCTAGGGGTACGAACAGGATACCGTGAGCGTTCAGGATTCGGGGTACTTGATTATAGGGTTTATTTGTTGTAGACTGTGGCCTTATACAACGAGTCCTCTCTAGTGTGAAAGTCGGGCCAAACTTGGATAGTTGGGGTTATACGTCCCCAAAGTGGGGCTATCCTACCTGTGAACTACTTAAAACCCAAACCCCAAAACCATACTTGCTGGGTCCCTTGGCCCGATCACACGGCTGATGATCTAAATCCGGCATTGCCCATAATAAGGAATATGCCATAATTCCCATAGTTTAGGGTCCTTAAGGTAATGCAGGACTTATATCATCAACCGTAGTTCAGGGATTCATGGATCTATAGGCCTTGGGAGGATTTGCCATGCAGGGTCAGGTTTCGTTTGAAATAAGGGTGTAGGTTCAGGGCTTAGGGTTTCGGGTTTACGGTTAGAAGTTCGGGTGTAGGTTCAGGGCTTAGGGTTGAGGGTTTAGGGTTTAGGGTTTAGCTGGAAGGGTTCTCCTCAAACACAAGTTACTGTCAGGGTGGCACAGGGCTTTGCAGGATTGTGTGGAAACCCATGGATGGGGACTCTTCCCAAAGGGTCCGAAGTAAATCCTAAGTACCTCTATTGGGGAATACTTGCCGAAGCCATAATAGTAGTTCCTCTCGACGAACCTTGCGTTCTACCTATGTAGGTACTGAGGTCTGTTGGGGTTTTAGGTTGAGGGCAGCTCATAGCTCGAGAATGGGGTGTGTTGCGCTTTTTTGCATTAAAGGGTTTGGGCTTGCAAATATGGTCCATGCACGTCATCACCTCCCCAAGTAGCCCTTACGGCCTTCAACAAAGGTTGATTGGGTTATAGTGGAGGGTAGTTACGGGGCCTAGGCCCTTCTAGTAGACAATTCGGAAGAACATACTGTGGATGCCAGAAAGTTGGACAATGGATTTAGGATGATTAAAGTGCTAGGATCTCTAGCGCCAGGGGCGTTGCTGCGCAAAACTCTGCGGCCAGACTGATTGGTGGCTGCACGTTTCATTACCTGGCCGGTATCACTCGGAATCAAGCATTGGTAATGAAGAAGCCGACGAAACAACGCTTGGCGGCGTTGTGCCGTCGCTGGTCTCGGTTGGCTTTGCTTATCATCGATGAGATTTCCTTGACGCCACCGCCTTTGCTTGCTATATTGACTGCTGCAGCTTGCTGGGGTCGTCAGGCCATTACAAAGTTGACGAACACCGCCAGTTTTTCGGAACGACCCCTGACGCTTTATACTAGGGGCATGAGGATATTCATGTTCCAACTTTCTGGCTTCTACTGTACTGCATTTAATGCTGCATTACTACACATGGATCCCCAGCGGATAGGAGTTCGGGTTCGGGTCTTACCCAGAGGGTCCAAGTACCCACACAGTAGGGTTTTAGATCCCAAAATCCGTACTCTGAATGGTTTTTGGACCTTAAAACCCTACTATTTGGGTACTTGGACCCTTAGGGTTAGTGTTCCCTAAACCCTACTTGGAGGTTCAAGGGCCTTAGTAAGTACAGTTATAAGTATATAGCCTTATTGGGATTAGAAGTACATATAAGTGTAGTTGCCTTAATTATATCCCTAGTTACTAAGTCCCATGAACCTCTCAGTAGACCTGAAACCATTGACCCATAAAGGGAAGCTTAGTATAGAACCCTATAGTACCCTTAAGCTGAACCCTTATAACCCTTACTAAACACCCATAATACCCCTTATAGTATCCCTTAAAGCCCCCTTTAAGGACCCCTTTACAGGACCCCTTCAGTTAGACAGGGCTTCGCAACATGACCGCCTTTTAGAACCCTGGCTTCCATCGTAGTCCGATCTTGAGACCCTGGAAAGCCTTAAACTAAACCCCTAAAGGTCCATGATGGTACCCAAAATAGGGTTCCTTTAAGGCTTCCCTTTAAGGGCTTTCTCAGGGGTTCTATAGGGTTAAGGGCATAAGGGTCCATGTCCCTAAATAGTGTCTACTTTTGGCCGTAAAGTGATCCCTACATAGGTACTTTGGGGCAAAGGATATACGATTTGGGTACATGGAAGTTTTCGAAAATAGGCGACTCTAATATGGTACCCTACATAGCAGGATCTCTATTATAAGGACCCCAACAGAAGGTACCTCCAATTTCGGAAACTCCCACATGGACCCTTAGGGAGAAGTGTCGATCCCGAACCCTTCATCCTAAACCCGACTCCCAACCTCGGAGAACCAAATTCCACAACAATCCCTGCACT